GTAGAAGTGCATGTGGAGGTAGCTGTTCTCGGCCTCTTCTTCGGTGGCATCGAGGGGTGCCTGGTGAATACCGGAGCCTGCAGTCTTGTGAGCGTAATTTCCCTACTAATGACGGAGACCACTTACTGTAAGGGAAATGTGTCTCAAAGAGGTTGTCGTATCTCCTTGCGACCTCCTGGATTGCCTCGGCAAATTGGACTCTCTCCTCTGCGCTCAAATCTACAAGGGCGCGAACATGCCTCTTGGGCAGGATCATGACCTCAAACGGCCAGACAGCCCACCAGGGACAGACCACGATGAAGGCATCGTTCTCAAACACCGTGCGCTCCTTCTTCTCCATCTCAACCTTCACGTAGTCGCCCAGCAGGTGGCGGCCAGCGTGCTCGCTGCGGTACTTGGCCATCTGCACGAGCTCGGTGCCGGGCTCCTCCGGCATGGTGGAGGTGGTCCAGATCTGGCAGTGAGGGTGCGGGTTCGAGCATCCCATGGCAGCGCCCTTGTTCTCGAAGATCTGCATGAAGCGCAGCTGGTCGCGGGGCGCGGCCACAGTGCTCGCGGGGGTCGGAGGGGGCAGCTGTAGAGCGGCGGCGACCTTGGAGAGGGGGTTCGCGGGGGAGAGGTGGGAGGCGTAGATGTTTGTCCAGACGTCGATCACGGGAGCAATCTCCTCGGTCGTCATGTCTGCGAGGGTGACATGGTGCTTCTCGGAAAAGGTGAGGACGTAGCATTTGCCGGTGGCAGCCTCAGCCTTGAGGAGGGATGCGGCGAGGTCTGGTATCGTCAATCATGATGTCCACGTAAGAAACAGAGAGGAGTCTACCATCGCTGCCTTCCTCGGGCTTGTACTCGGCCTGGTCCTCCTTGACGGCGCTGTAGTCGTTGACGAAGACGAAGGTGTTCTTGTAGTCAGGGTTCGCGTCGCCAACAGCGCGCGAGTTGCGGGGGCAGAGGTAGCACTGCAGAGGGTCAGAAAATGCTTTTCTTCTGCAGCTTGAAACGGCTTGCCTTTGGATCGTACTCAGGAAGCTTCGTAACAGTGGGCGCCTCTTGCTGACCTCTGTCCACCTTAGCGCATGTCGCATCACGTAGCCTGGTCGAAGTGATCTTACTGCCAGGGGCGCTTGGTCCTGTGAGGCGAAACCAGCAGCCAGGTGCCCTTGAGAGGGTTGTACCGACGGTGGGAAATGTCGTCGAGAATCTTGTCAGGCATTGCGATGGATAATGCGGTACACGAAAGACAACAGTGATGTTGGAGAAGATGGCGGGGTAGTAGCTCCGCGACGAAGACAGCGCGGGGTTCGTCTTAATGTCAGTCGCAAAGGTCGCACTCAACCAGCCAAGAGATGGAAAAAAAGAGAGAAGGCTCGAGGATAAGCCAGTCACGATTATTTAAAGAATCACGTTGTTATTTTCTCCATAACAATCTGGCTAAGTACAAAAGTCCAGCCCTCGGCAGGTCGCGGCCGAGGAGACAGACGGGGAAGCTGCCACAAAACAGCTCACCTCTGGCTGGCGGCTGGTGGTGACGTCCGATCCCTGCAAATGCGCTTCGTGCCTCGGGGATGTTGCGCCAGAAGACGTGGAGGGACAGTGAAGAATTGCCCCGCGAAACCCCACCATCGCAGAGGCGCGCCATTGTTCTGGCGGGCTCGATGCGCTGAAGGGCCAAGCTAGCGGCGGGAAACTGGCGGAGAAACTCTTTGGGGGCCGCGGGTGACGACATGTGGAACGCGACAGTCCTGGCTCGGGTCAATGGGTGAGAGGTATTTGCTGACTGGTGTCTACACTGGCAGCAGTGAGATTTTCTGCTGTGCAGCTCTTCGCCCGCAGGTCGGCACATTAATCCACGACGCCGGTAGCCATCGTCTTAACGTACATACACTGCAGGAAATGGGTGCAGATGCAAACAGCCGGGCGATGGTCCGTTGGCCGAACATTGAATTCAGCTAATCGGGGCTGACGGAGCCGTTTTGATAGCGACTAGCATGTGGCTTAGCTCCTCGCTGATGTGTGGCTAGTGCCCTGGCCTCACCAGCCACAGTCGAATGGCCCAAGCGCGGCTAGACTTCGGGTCGGGTCAAGCACGTCTCCACATCCCCGGATTCCTTCCATTGGAGCCTGGCGTTGTTTCGACGGCGAACCTTGAAAACGTGGATTATCAACAACGCGCATCGGCCCATCCGAAATCCATCGAGTCCATCGACGACCGTCCCATCCGCATCGAGCACACCACGCTTCTACATTAAAAATACCAAGCCCTTGTCGATAAACCACCGTATGCCCGCTTCCACATCGCGATAACTCGACCGACTCCGGCTGAGCCTTACCAGGGGCTGGCCTCCACGTCCCCACCGCAGCCCTGGACGAAATGGGCGTCATTAGAAAGAAGACCGTCACACGAGGCGGCGAGGGTGGTGTCAAGTACCACTGCGATATCTGCTCTGTAGACATCACATCAACAGTATGTTGTTTTGTTGTTTTGCCCGTCGTCGCGTCCCTCAGCCCCGCTGCCGAGCTCCGGCGCAAACATCATCTCGCGCCTCGCGCTAACGCCCACCCTCTGCGTCGATAGGTACGCATCAGATGCGCCCACTCCGCCTGCAACGACTACGACCTCTGCGTCCAATGCTTTTCGCAGGGCAAATCCAGTTCGAACCATAAGCCAGAATCACATCCATACCGCGTCATCGAGCAGAACTCCTTTCCCATCTTCGACCGGGATTGGGGCGCCGACGAAGAACTTCTCCTCCTTGAGGGCGCAGAGATATACGGCCTGGGATCATGGGCTGATATTGCCGATCACATTGGCGGTTTCCGCCACAAGGACGAAGTCAGGGACCACTACCTGAAGGTCTACGTCGACTCGCCCAGGTTTCCGCTGCCGAAACGCTGCAGTCCAGGCGACAATGAGCTCGCAAACGAGATCTCCAGGGAGGACTTCCAGGCCAAGAAGAAGCGCAGGATAGAGGAGCGCAAAAACGCCGCGAAGAATGCGCCCACATTACAACCCAAGACGAAGCCGACCGCCTCCGTACCAGCATGTCACGAAATACAAGGATACATGCCTGGTCGTTTGGAGTTCGAGACAGAATACGCAAATGAGGCGGAAGAAGCGGTACAGCTCATGCAATTCGATCCAGGCGATGGCCTCAACCCTAGAACTGGTGATCTTGAGCCCGAGATGGAACTGAAGTTGACGGTCATGGACATCTACAACTGCCGCCTTACCCAGCGTGTCGACAGGAAAAAGGTTATTTTTGAGCACAACCTGCTGGAATACCGCGAAAACACAAAGGTCGAAAAGAAGAGAAGTAAGGAGGAGAGGGATCTGCTCAACAAGGCCAAGCCTTTTGCAAGGATGATGAACCACGACGACTTTGAGAGCTTATGCCAGGGTCTTATTGACGAGCTCAACCTCCGACAGGCTATTACCCAGCTTCAAGAATGGAGGAGTCTGCGCATTGGTGACCTTCGAAGCGGAGAGAAGTTCGAGACTGAGAAGGCGCAGAGGGCACAGAAAGCGATACCAATGGGCTCAATGGACAGAGAGCGCATGGCGTCGGCCCAAAGGTCCAAGGCGGCCGCTGTGCCCGACCCGCCAAGCGGAGCTGCACTCCTTGTCCAGCCCGAGCTGCCAATACGGACAGCACCGCCATCCAATGGCACCAACGGCGCGGACGCAAAAAGCGAGCCTCAAACCAACGGCAACGTCAACGGGGCCTCAACAAATGGAACCGTCATTGTGGCAAACGGTACGGGCCCGTCAGGTCCCGTCACGCGGCAGAAGTACATGGCACAGGCTCTGCCAGGCGTCACGCCCCTTACCCTTACACAAGAGGCCGCTCCAGACTTGCATCTGCTCACGCCGGAGGAAGCTAAGCTCTGCGAGGTGGTGCGGCTGCAGCCCAAGCCATACCTGATGATCAAGGAGCAGATTCTCAAGGAGGCCCTTAAGAGCAATGGTACACTAAAGAAGAAGCAGGCCAAGGAGATCTGTAGGCTGGACTCGCAGAAGGGCGGACGCATTTTTGAGTTTTTCATCAACGCTGGCTGGGTTGGCAGGGCATAGTATGCTGCAAAGTAAGCAACCAGCGCAGATGCTGAGTCTGGCTGTGGCTGTGGCTCAAGATGCGATGTCCTTACCTCAACTGACTTGACTTTGGAGTATCATCAAAAGGGGGTGGTGGGTTTGTTTTACTAGGGGAGTAGGGGAACATATTTTAGTTTGAAGTGTATCAAGATACCAATCTACGAGCGCAACTCTTTGCCTCCAATTCTCACAGCGGACGTAGCGTCACAAAGTTCACATAGCTTTTGTAGGATAGATGTTGACACGGGTCAATGCTTCAGGTTATGCATCAACGGTGAAGGGTGAGGCCCGCCGAATCCAGCTCCAGTGACGACGAACCGAAACTTGACTTATGTTTCCAAGACACACTAAAAGGATGGCTTCAACAACGCCTCGATACGAACGCGTGCCAAGCTGAAGCTATGTTGGTCTATTGAAGCTTCGGGATCAATTTGATGGAGAACATTAGGTAATCCGAACCGTAGGCACCGACACCGGGGACGGTCGTACTGCTGCCTGCGTGGATCATCCCATGTTTGCTGATCGGGAGGGAAGGGACCCATAACATTGCAATTTCAGGTTGCATCGACCCGGGCCTCCAAGGGGCACTTTAACGGACATAAGGTCTTTCTTCAGCAAACTTCAGAGCTTTGGCCACTGCATATCCGTTCAGCTCCCAGGATGAATATCATAAGGTCGTCGAAGCACAGAGAATCCCCTTACGAGGTTGAATTAGAGATTAAATGCCGACCGGGTATATTGTACTCCCCAAAGTGTGTTTTTAAGGTCAAGTTATAAGAATTAATTACAGGTAAAATTTAAGATTTTTATTTCTCCTCCCGAGAAACTCTAGGTGGGAAATTGGAGACCGTGGGACCCCAATCCCAGCGGGGCGTTCGTCTTCGTCAAACAGCTCTTGGCGTGATGTTGCTTAGAGCATAACGGCACCGACAATGCCAGCAGCAGCAGCCGCAGCGGCGACGAACAGGCCAGTCTCCTTGGGCGCGGCGGCAGGGACGGCGGTGGTCGAGGCAGCGCTGCCAGACGCACCAGAGCCAGACGCGGACGCAGAAGATCCAGCGGTGCCAGTCGCAGTAGCACCAGAAGCGCCGCTGCCGCTGGACGTAGCCGTAACCAAGCCCGTAGCAGTCGCCGACGCCGACGCCGTGCCGTCCTCCGAGGTGATGACCGCGGCCGCGCTCGTGCAGATGGCGTCGCCGTACTCGGCGAGGATGCTGGAGAACTGGGGCACGTCGGAGCAGGCCTGGTAGAGGGAGCGGATCTCGGTGATGTGGGCGTCCTGCCAGCTCTGGAGGGCGGAGGAGTAGGAGGTGATGAGGGCGCCGGCGGAGCCGGTGATGGAGGGGAACTGGCACGGGTCGGTGATGGTGGGGACGTCGACGTCGGTGTAGGTGGCGAGGGCGGTGGGTAGCTCGGGGAAGTCGTCGACGACGGTGGAGTGCGCGGCGTAGGCGGACAGGCAGGCGGCCTCGTCGCGGGCGGCGAGCTGGGCCTCGGCGCGGCGGAAGGCGTGCGGGAGGGTGCCGGACAGGTCGCGGACGGCGAGGACGGCGGCCGGGAGGGTGGCGGCGAGGAGGAGCTTGGACTGCATTGTTGCGGTTGGTGTTGGTGTTGGTGATGAAGGGGTGTGTGAGCGGGTGAAGCTGGTGAGACTGGTTAAAGTCTTTTTGTGGGATTATACGGCAGCTTGGCTTTGGGGCTGGGGAGAGAAGAAACAACAGGAAGACGTGGAAGATGGGGGGCGGGATGTGTTCAGCTCTTTAATATCATGTCACCGGCTGGATTCATGTAGACACCCTTGTTCGACGATTACTCGATTCGATATGGCTCAGATGGGGTGTGGTGCGTGTGTGTGACTGAGTGAGTGCCCCAGAGAATCATTCACTGGGTCTGACTAGGCGGCCTACCTACGAATACAGAAAAAATACAGACATCGTCAGGCAGGCCAAGCGAATAGGAAAGGGAGCCAAGCCAACCAAGACAGTCGGGCAATCTCGTTTGCCCCCCTGAATTGGCGCCGAGTATGCTGTGTGTGCCTGCTGCCTGCTCCGGCCGGGCGAAGGCCGCGGCAGGGCGTGATGCAATGATCGCCCGCGCCCGGTGCCGTGGGTCCGCGAAGGGATGATGGGTCGACGGGAGAGAGCATATTCGTACCTCCCGTCGAGAATTGGACCGAACTGGACTCTTCTCTTGTGCCTGGGACAGGGGTTTGTTGGACGCTAAGCTACGGCGAGGATGTGAGAAATTTGGGAGTGGTGGTTATTCGGAAGATAATGCACAGCGGCACGGGAAAGGGGTAAAGAAGAAGCAGTATCTAGCAGCTGTCACTCACTGCTTTGCCGCTTGGGATCTCGAAGGTGTGCAGTGTGATGGTATGGTATCTCACATGTACCTCGCCCTCTTCCTGCAGCCTGTGATGGATCGCTTTCCCTGTCGCTAACCCGAAAAGTGGGAAATCTCCAGTAGGATGGTCTGGGCGCGTCGTGGGCTTCGCGATGTGGTGCGGTCCAGCTGTTCGGCCGCGAAAAGGGCGAGCTTTTTTGCGCTGGCAAAGTTCTGTTGATTCAGTGATTCTGCTGTGTCTGGCTGTCTATCAGAGATACGGACAGGGATGAACTGCAAAAGTCCTCTCTTGTCGGCGACCAGAAGGACATCACATCCCTGCTGGGCATCCTCAGGTTGAGTGTGGCTCCGCCGTTCGCGTGATGCCGCGCGACCATTTAACCAGTTAAAAACTCCGAAGAGGGAGATTGCGAGGACCGCTTTTCAAACGTGGATTTTTTTGATGGTAGTCTGCGTTGTGATTTGTTAATCGTTGGGAAATATGGGACGCAAGTGGTTTTTGAAGGATTCACGTAGGTCTTGGGTTACCCCAGTTTCCTGTTCCTACTGGAGAGAGGCAGCAGAATAACGTATGGAGGTGACGAAAGTCAAGAACCGCATCGTGAGGCTGAGTTGCGAAGGAACCGAAACATTGCTTGGCATACGCGAAGTGCCGTTCTTGCAAACAGGACGGGAACGATATGTTCCATTGTCTGCCTCTACCCGCCGTGCATTCTCGAATCTCCCGAAGCCGGGGGTGCCCATCTCACGTCCAAGCGGCCGATGTCCTCCTGCAGGCAGCTAAGCGGCACGGTACTTTTCCCATTTAACTTGTGCCATCCGAAGAACCGAATATTTCAGCTAGCCTACCAAACTTTTTCTTCTTTTCGCTGTTGTTTTAACCAGCTATGATTTTCAGCTCCCCACGTCGTGAGTGACGGCTCCAACGGCATTTCCAACGTTACACTGGTTTACATCCTAGACACAGCCTCGATGCATTACACACCGCGTCGCGCTAGTGCTGACGGCGTCTGGCGCCGTCTTGCCTGTCGTTCGGAGCCTGTCCCGCTGCAGGGCTTGGCGTTTGCCCCCTCCCGCCTCTGTGTACTGTGTCAGCCTGAGATTGGCAGCTGTCTTTGCTTGATGCGTGACGGAGTGGTTCCGGAAGGAATGCGCTGCGGTGGGCGCTGACGTTGCTTTACATTGTTGGCATGTTCGGCGAGTTGAAGATGTGCAGGCCAGGGTGGGGAGGACAATAAGGATCTTACCTCGTGCAGCTAGTGACTGTCAATTTTCGGTAAGTCGTAGCTTTCCTGGGTTGTATGTGTTGATTCTTGATGAGGCATGTAAGTGAGATTGAGAATCCCCATCTTCAGGTGGGTTGCCAAATTCCAACGGCGGGAGTCTATCTCGATCCGGCCCCGGGACTTTTGCCTTTCAATAGAACTTCGGCGTCCCTTTCGAAGATGGACATGATCTGCGGCCCCGAGTCATTCTGTAAGCAATTCTCGGGGTAATAAGGCCAGCTGAAAGAAGGTTATTCAGACTTGCCTACGGAGGACATCCGAAGCATCTAGCTCGCTTTCAGCCCAAGCCCGAAGGAACAACAAACCGCAGCATCAAACCCCTAAATGACCCGAACCTCAAACAAAAGTCATCCTCCTCAACTCAAAATCAAGCCCCGTTTCTCTTCTGAGGATGGCAGTGTCCAGAAGCAGCCAAGTCCCTCCCAAACACCGAAGCTCCGATAAGCAGCCCGCGCGGCGTAAGCCACAGGCTCAGGCATTCGGCGCCCGGTCGTCGGTAGGGCTGACGTGCGTTTTCTAAATCCAACCGTCTTCGTTCGGTCCAACGGTGCATGTGTGTCGGCACAAAGAAGTTGTGGAAGGCCATATTTGGCAGCTCGTGCTGATGCTGACATCGCCTCCCATGCAGAGGCTACGTCAAAGGATTCCCCGCGGGGGTATCTTGGAGAGGAGGCTCTTTGATAGATGGATGTTTATAAACGTGGTTTCTGCTGGTGGATCGATGTTTCTGTTTAGTACTTTGTCTATACCTTGCTCAAATATCGCAGAAATATCAACATGAAGAGCGCATTCACACCAATCGCTGCCCTTTCGGGATTGTTTGCGTCCTTGGCAACTGCACATGTCGAGATTTCGTATCCGGGATGGAGGGGGAACAACATCATTACGAATGAGACGTTCCCGTTCGGGATGCAATGGATGTATCCATGTGAGTTCAACCGAAAACTAACCTACTCGAGTACAACATCCAGATATCTAACATGACATGCATCAAATAGGTGGCGGCCTCAACGTAACTCAGAATCGAACCCACTGGCCTCTCGAAGGCGGTGCCATCGCCCTCCAGCCCGGCTACAATAACGGCCACCAGAGCGCTCTCATGTACGTCAACATCGGCCTGGGCGAGGTACCATCGAACTTCACCACTGTCATGGTCCCTATGTTCCACCTCACCGGCCCCACGAACGAGGCCTACGACGGCACAGTCTGTCTGCCGCATGTCCCTCTCCCAAGAAGCGTAGAGCCGAAGGAAGGTGACCTGGCGACGATACAGGTCGTCCAGGCGGCGAGACATGGTGGTGCCCTTTTCAGCGTAAGTCTTCGAGGGTTCATCGATGTGCTGAAAGGTCTTGCTAACTGGGAGTTAGTGCGTCGACATCATCTTCACAGCCGATGAGTCCAAGATTGCCCCGGTCAACGATAGCAACTGCTTCAACTCCTCGGGCCTGAGCATCCAAGCTGCGAGTATCGCGATAAACGAAAATTCAATCACAGATCCGTCTCCCACGGTCGTTTCCACGCCGTCTCCAACGAACGCTGCTTTCCGCATGGTGGCGCCGGTGTCGGGCTTGATTGCTGTGTTGTTGCTCCTGATATAGAAGCTATGCGGGCGGTTGTATCCAGCTAACCGGGTAGACTGTTATTCTCTTATATATGAAGTAGCCATAATTACTACTATCGTTATGATCACGATTATTGTTATTCTTATCGTCGTCGTTGCCATCGTTGTTGCCATCGTCGTTGCCGTCGTCGTTGCCGTCGTCGTTGTCTTCGTTAGTATTGTCGTTGTTATTATTATCATCGGCGTCCTTCTTGTCGCCGCCATCACTATTAACATATATCATTGCTATCAAAATTATTATTATTATTATCCTCTTATCCGATCCGCCCGGATACCAAAATTCATAGATTCAATTCACCGAGTTGTTGGTAGTCAGGTAGGTAGGGCGGCAAGAACTCCAAGGGCATTAAGGAGGACAGGGGTAACCAGCCAGTGAAAGGGGATCTTGTCAGCCACACGTGCAATCGGCCACGAGTTTGCCGAGAGTGGAATCTGACAGAAGAGTGCAGCCTGATCCTCCAACGCGTGACTGCCGTGTATCACCAACCCAAAAACACATTACTCGACACGCTCCCAAATGACAACCAAATCACGAACAATATGTCAACCATGTACACTCCTCTAAAGGCTTCGCGACGGGAAGTTCGTCTCATTTCGATCCGCCCAGACTTGAACAAGCTTGACGGCAGTAATATGCCCCGAGACAGCATTCCTGAAGGAACACTCATATGCACCATGAAAACGGTATCTTTGAAAGATTGGACCTCGGACTATGCCGCCTTCCGAGCCAAGGCAATCGACTGGCCCTACTCGCCTACCACTCTCTATGAGAAGTGGGAACATTTCTCGCGCGAGAAGGCTGGATGTACAGATGACGACAGAACCACTCCTGATAGATTCGTGTGGGGGGACTACGAGACCATCAGCTACACATGGGAGAACGGATCGAACACACAGCACACTATCTCCGTCAACGACAGACCATTCGTCGTTCAAGATAATCTCTATCAGGCACTGCAAGAGTTCCGGAAAGGTAGAGACTTTGTGGAAGGCCGAACACGAATGCTCTGGGCCGATGCGATCTGTATCAATCAGGATGACCTCGACGAGCGAGCTACCGAGGTCAAAAGAATGAATGAGATTTTCAGCACTGCAATCAAGTCGACGGTCTGGCTCGGGGCGTCCCTTGACCTCAAAGGCGCAGATACACAAGTCTACTTTGACCTCATCGGGCGCCTCATAGACGATTTCTATCGCACGACGCTCCCGGATGACTCATCGATCAATTCCCTACAACGAGCATCAACTGAGACCGTTTCATCAGGAGAAGGGTATCTAGATGAGCATGATCCTGAACATCAGGAAAGCCATGCGCTGTCGGAGAAAGCTCTTGCTGTGATTTCCCAGTTCGATCCTGCAGAGCGCCCTCCCATCTCCGCACTTGAAACGCTGCACCCTGACGAGCGCCTAGAGGCCCTGCTTTTTCCTATATTTCGCCTCGATTATTGGAATCGGGTTTGGATCATTCAAGAGCTCACTATCAGCTCTAGCCACACAGTCGTACGAGCAGGGTCCTCACAGATCTCGTTCGCGCGACTGTCTTGGTTTGCAGAATGGTATAGCAGAGATTCTACGTTTGACTCCAGTTGGTCACCCAATGACGAGTACACGAGGAACATCATGAACACATTTCTTCTACTCAAAACTATCTATCAAGTTCAACTCCAACTTGGACCCGACGAGTGGAAGACGAGTCCTGAACAGATGTTGATTAGACAAGGCCTCATGTCTCGATCGTCTCTACCTCTGGACAAGCTATACGGAGTGTTGGGGTTATTGCAGCCTTCCGCATATCTCGGAATCGATGTTGACTATAGGAAGACTGTTCGACAGGGCTCCATTGATGCAGCTATTGCTTGGATGCGTGCTGGGAAGAGTCTCAAGACTTTCGACATTCGCAGAGAATTCCAAAACTCGCGAGTGCCGTGTTGGGCAGTAGATCTATCGATAGATCAAGATCCAATGTCAAGTATGGCGGCACACTTCTGGGTCAGGGGTCCAGCTAAGATCCCGGAGGTGGACTGGGAAATCTTTTGGGAGAGTCAAGTTGGACTGAGGGACCAGGGCATCTTGAGTCTTGAAGCCAAACACCTGGAAACTGTTGATGGAGTTGCGGCTTGTGTGCCTCTTGAAAGGAGAAGTCTGGAAAGCTGGTCCCCGAAGCTTACTCCGCCAAGAGCCATTGATTATTCAACGACGCAGCTGACACGACTTTATCACTCTTATAGCGACGACTCTGAGATGCTCGCTTGTCTAGATGCTATTTTACGCAATGTCCCGAATTGGGAAACTGAAGGGCTAAAAAGCAGATATTATGCAGAAGGATCTCCTGACGTCTTCAAACTCAGTACTTTGGCAGAGAAGTTGGAGCTGAGTAGCGATGTTTCGTCTGAATCCCACCCCTTGGGGGTCTCGGCGGCGACAGCAAGGGGACTGTCTTCTCTGAAGCAGTTCCTTGACGCTAGTGCCGACTTCGAACTTTGGAAAGAGAAGCTATCATTGCTCTTTCCCGGAATCGGACAGAAGCCAGGGTCCCCAATCTCAGCATCCCACACGTCAGACTTGGCAACCCTTTTAGACACGGATGGGTCACAGGCACTCGAGGACATGATGCAACATGTCAACATGTGGACACTTTCTCAGGTGCGACTGATCACCACCACGAGTGGATATCTTGGTATGGCTGCTCAACTTGTAAAACAAGGCGATATGATTTATGCGGTCGAGGGCTATGGGTGCCCTGTCATCTTGCGACCTATTGAGAACGCGGACACGTTTGAGTTTATTGGTCTGGCCGAGGTTTGGAGCCCGGCTGTGAGCGGAACATGGGAGAACATGACGTTTTACTGTATTGTTAGACTGCAGTGAGATTCGCTGACAAGCCTTCATTGATTACCATACTGGCGGCCTCCTCCCGGCGACTCTTGACGGAGATGGTCTTACTGCTCTTTTCATTCGATTCATTGCCCTTCGCGTCTGAACGCCTGTAATGACGGGAAGGTCCCGCGTTTGCTGCCTGTCATGCACGTCTGCGGCGCACAATTCATGCTGGCCAGTGGATAAAAGGTCCATGCAGCTGAAGGATCATCAGCCCGCCGGAAATGGAAATGTTCAGCTGCGTCACCAGACAGGCTCCTAGGGGTAGATTTTCTACTTTAGATACAGTTAAGAACACTTAAGGTGCTGTTGACTTAATAACCGTGGGCCCGCCTTCGGAGTCCAAGGCTTCAACGTTCCTCTCCTGTATTTCGCCGACAATCACCAATCTGCATAGTGTTTTCCAAACTGTTTGTATTTGTCGGCGACTTGGTATGATCGGTGCAGTCTCATCGATACTAGACCAAGATCAAGGCGGCGCACGATTTGCGAGGATTGACTAGTCGAGTGTGGTCACCGAGCCAACGAATGGCATACAGACCACCCTATCCTTGAAACCTACACTCAGCAACACAAGCGTGGATTTCCTGAGCTTGAGGATGTCTCTTGGCGCTCAGAAGCTAGCCAGGCCTCGTCCTGGATATGACTGGGATGAAAAGAGGGACGTACTGCAGCGCTTGTATCTGAAAGAGAACAAGCCTCTGCGCGAGATTGTGGGCATCATGCGCCACCAGTACCTCTTCTTGGCAACGTAGGTGTCCTCTAACCTGTGGATTTCTCAGGAACTGGCATCTGATTATCCACGTTAGGGAGAGGATGTATAAGCGGCAGTTCATGAAGTGGAAGTGGCGGAAGTACAACTCTGAGGGGCTTCGACAAAGTCAGCTGAGTGGTGACAGGGTGGAAATGGTCGAAGGCGAGATGACGTGCCAAAGACCACGGCGCAGACGCCTTGGCCCGCCGTTGGGTCGAAAATACGCTGGGAAACAAGAAAACGGTCCATTCCCCATACCATCAACGTTTTTGATATATGGAACCGAGAAAGATCGTTTGTCTTATGGGCTTCTCCTGAACTTACACGACTTGATACAAGGCGCTTCTCGTCGGGACCTCGAGTGGCATCAACGCGCAAGGTTCAACTATCTCCCCATCCCGGGGCGTCACTTGAAAGCTCTGGCACGACTCGGGGCATATTACTTCGACATCAAACACTTTGAACGAGGCGGGACTATATTCCAAGAAGCTTTTCAAGGGATCGAAGGCATTCTCAACCAGGAACCCATAGCGACCTTCCGCATGCTGCTTCTAGAAATCCCCCATCTACTCACTGATCACGGCATACTTCATTCCTATCTGCAGCTTGTCTCGGAAATGCTGGGTATCAAGCAACGGGGCCAGCCTATTCACCAGGTTGCTCAGTACATGTCCAATATTGCGGCTTCATGCCGCGAGGATCTGTTGGACCACATGAAGCGACTTCGAACCTTGATTATGGATGAGTATGTCGGTATTCGAGGGCGGATTGACTTGCACAGCATTGAGGCTACTGTTGAAGCGATGAATTGGTACGACAATGAGAGTCGTGCACGCAGCTGGTCTGACCTTCTGGAAAGCTACGAGGCTCTGCTTAACGAGGCGAACTCCACATTTGGAACAAACAGTTCTGAAGTGACTCGCGTCGAGCATAGTCGTGTGGTCGCAACTTCCCTGCTGATGAATCATAAGTCACCCGACTTCTTGACCCTGTGTCATCGCCATCTTTCTCGCCTAGCTGTCGCAAACAACAACAGTCCTTTACAGAAGTGGGATAGCTGGTCGTTGAGGCTGTATGGCAGGACGACAAGCTTCATGGCGAAGTTTCATGAGGCATCAGGCAACACGCATTCTGGCATTGAATGCTTGAAGAAGGCAGTTGAGGCGACAGACTATGCCCAGAGCAAAGCGACAGGGAGTGCTAAGTTACGGTATTCAAGTACCGCGTTGCTGACTCGTGTCAAGTTGGCTAAGCATCTTGTGAACTGTGGTAGAGAGATGGAAGCGATGGAGCTGAAGGCTGAGATTCCTCAAAGTTTGGCGAATTTGCAACACATGGTGCGGGATGAACAACTTTGGTGAGTTTGCCATAGCTACAAGCACACAGGACAGTATTTCAGATTCGTCAACATTTTTTAACGGACTTCATTCACGATTTGTGCGTCTCACAACAACAGTTTCGTAAATCTCAAGCTTGAACTCATGTAACATCGCATTGTAACGAACTACTACTGGGGTATCATGTTCGCTATGGCCATCGTCTCAGTCGTGCTCATCCCATCCTGCCACATGATGCCCTGTAAGGTCTGCATCGAATCGTTGCCAAACTGGAAATCATAAGGCATCTGTCCAAACCCGTCCACAATCATCTGTCCCCAAAACATCTTGTCCATTGTGACATCATCCACCCACGACATGCTCGGGTCGTTCGTTGAACCCTCCGCGGTGTTGGGTGGTTGCTCAGCAGACGGCTCCCGCTGTGGAGGAGACACTTTGCTCAGATACCAGTTCTTCATCCATCGTGCACGGTAGGCGTAATTCGCCCATCTAGACGTCTGGTCTTCGAAAAGACGCCTCTTCTGGCCAACAACAAGGGCTACGTTGTCCGCCTCTTCGAATCTGTCCGCCATTCGTTGTGCATTTTCCGCGTGTGGAATCTTTTGCCGAGCGATAGTAACGTCCCAGTCGGGGCTGCCGTCTTCCAAAAGAAGCCGGTTCGCTGCCATCATTACGAAGGCGGTGCTGGAGACCAGAGTGAAGGGCAGGTATGCGTATATCTCTGCGGGTATGGACATTAAAGCATCCATGGCGGCCTGAACACATTCGAGGCATTTCCAGAGGGCTTCAGTTCGGCTATATGGCTCGGTCGGCGACGCTGTATCTGCTGGGCTCATTGGTCGCATACCCAGTGCAGGCTCGTAGAGTCTGACTGCGAGGGTCACGTAGTGACACCAAACAAGCGCTGCGCGGAGGAATCAGGTAAGTGGATGTTGCCTGGTTTAGAGAAAGAACAACTTACGATTATCTTTGTTTATACCAGGCTCCTCTTTCTGAAGGTCCTCCATCTCCTTCCGTACGGACGAGAATATTGCGCTGTAGTGCTCCTTGAAGAATGGGGCAGGCGTGTCCTCATCTCTGTCGTAAATTGGAAACAAAGATCTGAGACGATCGGTTACGTGTTGCATGCGGACGAATGCAATTAAGCTCGAGTCTGTTGCGAACTCCCCTGCTTCGCGGATAGTTCTGCAGCATCGCGCCATATATGCTGACCATTGTACTTGTGGGCTTCTTCGCATTGAGATGGCCACGCTATAGATCACTACATCAGCATTGATTCGGAGCGAGATGGGATTAGAACTGAGGCTCATACCTAGATGCAATGAAATAGCCTCCCAAGACCGCTCTCTGCTCTTCGAGAGTCTGTTTTGGGGTTTCGAAATGTTTTCCTTTGCTGATAACAGCCCATGCATCCGATAACATGGTCTTGGGCATCCAGGCTAGTGGTCCAGCAAGAGTGTTGACGCTCATGTCTGAGACCATGCCGATGGCAAGTTGCAGAAGGCCGTTGGCACTCATGCCCAAGTGAATATGGACATCTCCCCTGTATATGAGGACAAAGGTCAGCAACCTCACTTGGGCAAGACTGAGACGGGGTGCACCCACCAAGCGTAGCAGGCAATGTAGATCAACAGGCCCTGCAGCAGCTCAAGCTTCCTCTCCCTGTTCACGATAATATGCACGGCTGCATGGTGCCTAATCCAGTCATCTACCGCCTTCTGAACAGGGGCTTCTTGAGGAATGAGAGCCTGCATGATGCACCAGAAAAGAAATCTCTTCTGGGAGTGGAGCTCCCGCGCCGTCACATTCACGTGGATAGGTATGAAGGGAAAGTGTGGGACCATGCGAGTGCGGTAGATGTTGAGGTATTCTTCGGCTTGATCCATGGTGAGGGAGAGTCCAAGGACCAACTGCAAGGTATTCGAAGGACCGACGTCTGGGGTGTGTTGGGTGCTGCAGTGAGGGTCGGGGGTGACGGCGTTGGAGGATGCCTCGGTGTCAGCTTGAGGCATGGGGAGTCCAGCGCATGGCAGTAATCCACGCAGCTGATTCTCTTCATAAGTCGATGAACTGGTAGCGGGAGTAAGAGCTTGAGCTCCATGTTGCTTGGCCTGTTGTTGATTCTGGAAAAGGTTGACCAGGCCATCGATTTTCTTCTCTAGTTCGGTGACTCGACTGGGGTGAGCTGTCAGCGCCAAGGAAACACAGATGATCAACGCAGCTGATATTCAATGCCAGAAGACACAACGATATCTTAGTTTGGCACTGGAAAAGGGTCCAGAAGAACATCAGAAAAGATCCTACCTTGACTTTCCCCGTTTCTTTCTGGGTACTGGTTCCGGCACCCGACAGCGGATGTTCATCCGGGAACATCTAGCTTGTGTTAGCTCTCTGCAAGTCATTCTTGGAGAGCCCAGAATGGAGTCTGCAATCTCTCCCTACCTTGTGCAATCGGTTGGTTCACCATGCTCCGTGGCCGGTGGCCACCTGCATCTGATCTTGAGGCGCGCACAATTGCTGCAAGCTCGGAGCTTTTTGGCGTTCGCAATGAACTCCGGGCTACTGCCCTCTTCTTCTGGAGAAACATTTGTCATCTTCAGGCCGATGGAACAACAATGACGGCGTGTGCTCTGTGAATCTGGTGCTCAAAATGGCATATCACAAGCAATGGGAAAATCGCAGAAATGTCGCGGATGACGGCGTAGCTGGGAACGGACGAAAGCTGTCAAAGACCGGGGACCGGTGTCAGTCTTAAGTCCCGTATCCATTTGAAGTCGGCAAGGCGACTTTTAGCGTGAACGGATCTCTGGCTCTGATTGGTTTCTCGATTTGTTAACTGGATATTTACTAAGGAGGCCTGATTCGACAGAATTCCCTGTTGATCAGCGACACTAAAAGGCGTAGTCGCCGACTTCAAATGGATGTCGAAGATCGGGCGCCAATGGCAGCATCTGATTGGGCAGATGAGGATATGCGAACACGGAGTCGGGTGTTAACTTACTACCCGACCGCCGATGGACGCGCAAATTCCCACTTTCACCCGTGTTAACCCCGGCTAGGGAGCCATTTTGGCGGGACAAGGGTCAGCGCTAGGCAGCATCTTCCACCAATTTGCATGAGTGCCTTCGGACGTGACCTCCTTTGCTGCAACAATTAGAGACCTGCTGCCTGTCGAGGCTGAAGCGAAAATGGAGCAGACCTCCACAAATTGGATGTGGCTGGGCTCAAATGGTAGAAGCAGACCAAAGTCCCTAGAGATCTCGTGGGAGCGGGTCTCGGGTTAGCCCACTAATTACCAACACTTGCTGACGGGCTATTTCCCGTACGGACCGATGTCGAGGGCAGTCAGAATGTTCAGACATGAGGATCAATACAAGAAGATGGGATTGTTTTTCGAGATGGCCAAGAGTAGTACAAATACTCGAAAAGCACAGGCAACCTAGTGTTAGATATCGAACATCTAAATTCCCATATTTGAACACCAGCGCAAACGATAATATTCATTCGAATGGCGTCTTCCGGGGCATATTCCGCCGAAACTTTGTAAGTTTGCGGAGGTCCTTAGCGGCTCGGCAGCGGAACACCTGCTCACGAGTGACATCACACCAGGCCGGTCAACGCTACACCAGCACTGAGGACACCCTCAGAGAAAACGGATATACCGGAGTCGGAACAGGGTGCACAGAGCCAAGACGAAATAATCGAAGTCTATCCCAGCGGCCCGGCCCTTACGGCGATCTCGATTGGTCTATTTCTTGCTATTCTCTGCTTTGGCCTGGTAAGTTCTCGACAGCCAAGCAAATTTTACTGCTATCTATTTACCGACACCTCGTCTCTCATAGGATCGCTCAATCTTGGCAACTGCCATTCCGAAAATCACTTCAGAGTTCAATTCGCTGTCCGACGTAGCGTGGTACGGGTCTGCCTACCTCTTCACACAATGTTCCTTTCAGCTCCTCTTCGGAAAGCTCTATGCCGAGTACAGCATCAAGTGGATCTTCCTAATCGGGCTGGCCATCTTCGAGGTGGGGTCAGTGGTGTGTGCCGCGGCCCCGAACTCCGTCGTCCTCATCGTCGGACGAGCGGTTTCCGGAGTGGGTGCGGCCGGCCTGATGACCGGGGCTTTAATTGTAGGTTTCGAGAGCTCCAACGGCCGCCGCAAGCATCGGCTGACAAGGATCTAGATCATCACCAAGAGTGTACCGCTGCATAAGCGGCCCACTTTCACCGCCGCGATTGGTGCCGCTGCCGGAGTCTCTCAGGTCATCGCACCGACCCTCGGCGGCGTCTTCGTTGACAAGGCTACCTGGAGTATGATCTTGGCTGCTATAATTTGGATGATTTTCTGTTTGCTGACTTGTGGCAGGATGGTGCTTTTGGATTAATCTTCCCTTGGGAGGTGTAACTTTCGCTGTGATTCTCCTCTTTCTGAGGCTTCCCGAACAGGCAAAGAAAGAACCAAGAGGCTTCAAAGAGTTCATGGACAACTTTGACCTTGTCGGAACACTGCTCCTCATTCCATGGGTCATCTGTCTTCTACTGGCCCTACAGTGGGGCGGAACCGAGTACGCCTGGAGCAACTGGCGCATCATCCTCTGCTGGTGCATCTTCGCGGTATGTTTTCTTTTGTGGGGCTTCGTCCAATATCGCGAGGGCGACAAGGCAACCGTTCCCCTTCGCATCATGTCTGAGCGAACCATGATCGCTTCATGCTGGACAATCTTGCTCTTGTTCTCTCTTCTCTTCATCGATGTCTACTACATTCCGATCTGGTTGCAAGCCGTCAAGAACCACTCAGCCTACAAGAGCGGTATCGACCTGCTCGCATCATCAGCCTCGATGTCTGTTGCGACAATCGTGTCCGGGATCTTGGTACGTCCCTCCGTCGTTTTGACGACGTTGACACTTAATGCTGATAAATCATTAGACGAGTCAAATTGGCTACTACGTGCCGCAAATCATCGCGTCATCTGTCATTTCCTCCGTGGCTGGTGGCTTGATCTATTCGTTTACCGTTGACACTGACACGGCGTTCTGGTATGGCCTGTTACGTTTTCCGATTCAGTCTGCCCAATGTGCTAACATCTGCCTCAGGGCTGCTTCACTCGTCCTAATGGGTTTGGGAGTGGGTCTGGGAGGGCAGCAGTGCATCATTGCCGCGCAAACAGTGTTCAAGGGGCGCGACATCGCCCTCGCTACTTCGGTCTTGGTATTCCTCCAGAGCCTGGGCGGTACTGTGTTCCTGGCCGTTGCGCAAAACATCTTCAGCTCGCGACTCGTCGCCGAGCTCCGCCGAAACGTCCCCAACGTAAATCCGGCCGTGGTCATCAACGCCGGAGCATCGGGGCTGGTGGACTCTATGCGCAAGACCTACCCCGATTCGGTGGACGGCATCATCGAGTCGTACAACAAGGCACTGCAAAACGTGTTTCTCATTGCGACCGTTCTCGGATGTTTAACGGTCCTCGGAATTGGGTTTTTCGAGTGGAAGAGCGTCAAAGAGAACAAGCCGAAGACGGATGTAAAAAGCCAAACAGACGGAGATACGGAGAAATAATAGGGCATCGGCTTTTGGAACAGGGTGGTACCAAGTTACCGGATATTGCAATTAGATGGCGTACATGTTGGATAGAATAGATCAGGCTCACTAGATTGAAGTGATCACATATGGTAATACAATCGTGATTTTGACACGATCAAGACGTGCGCACGACCCTAACATACATCGAACCATTTCCCGCTTTCAGCCCAAAAACTCAGTTGACGTCAAGACCAAGTCTGCCTCCCGCGCGCGTGGGAAGTATCTTCCGGGAGCCGCAATGCCATAAGATGTGCAGGTTAATGTGCCCTTTGTGCCGATCTCCCGCTCCCCTATGCCCCTCGACGCTCGGAGATCCCCCACCACGGAAAGTCGTGATGGAGCCAGCAGGCGGCCAACGCCTCGTGAGTGTTCGAAACGACTCCGCAACCGTTTCATCCGGTCATAACTCTACTCTATAGTCAAAATGGCTAACTCCTGCAAGCCCGCGGCCGGTGAGCGAGGATAAGCTACCCCCCGCAGCTTCGCCCCTTGCGCTTGTCGTCCAATCTCGGGCCACCCTGACACAGCCAGACAGATTATTGACTGGCCGGCTCCCCCTCCATTCCGAAAGAGCGAAGTGCCGCCCCTCCCACCGCATGTTTAAGCAGCATCTCTGCATATTCTTCTTCATTTCTAAGCAGAAAGCCAGCTCGGTAGGGAGTGTGGCCGAAGAAACGAAACATGGCACGTTTGAGGTACTCAGCACGTCCTATTGGGCAGTTCGGTCATCCCATCTCTCGGGAGCCCCAAGCTTCACTTGCTACCCCTATTGATCGCGGCAGCAAACCGAAAAAAAAGATGAATGTCCGTCCGTTTTGAAGGGCTTAGTCGGTCTCATGATCGGGAGAATTTAGCCCAGTGCGGAAGGTTAAGAGAGAAAAGCTTCGTTCTAGTCAGCGGGTGCAGGAGCGATGCTTTCCTGCGAGTGCGATTCGTTTTAGATTCTGCAGTGCAAAGGAGTAGTAGCTTAAATATCACAGGGCCCTCCTCCGACCTCTTTTTGATGCGTGGGACCATTAGCGTTCTTGTTGCGATATCGAATCAACGTCTCTAGTAATTAACATCCAGCCCACGGGTCTCCGTCTGCCACAATGAAGTTCAACACGGTCGTCGTCTACTTCTCCGCCATCATTGGCGCGTCCATGGCTGCTGCCATTGAGGGTAAGCAGACAAAGCCACGAAGTCAACGTGCTATGACCCCGAGCTGACCCTATTGCAGAGCGCCAGGCACCACCTGCTCCTATGCCTCCTGCGGGTGCTCCTCCCGGACCTACTCCTAAGGTCATCCCAGTCCTCGTCGGTAGCCCGACCCGCGAGAAGTCGTTGCTCTTCTACCCTGAGGTCGTGAGAGCTCAGCCCGGCGACATCGTTCAGTTCCAATTCTGGCCCAACAACCACACCGTCACCCAGGCTGCGAACGTTCAAGCACCATGCCTGCCTCTTGGGGACATGCAGCCCAACGCTGTTCACAGCGGCTTCATCCCGGGTGTCACTGATGGCTCTCCTATCGGAACCTTCAATGTTCAGGTTGAGAACACCGAGCCAATGCTCCTGTACTGCGCTCAGGGCATGCACTGCCAACTCGGCATGGTCATGATCATCAACCCGTAAGCCACTCACGTACACGGAAGCGGACGTGGAGAAGTACTAACAACCTTGCAGTAAGGCGGACGCGGACGTGCAGGCCTACAAGATGGCCGCCAAGGGATCGCAGCAGAACGTACCCGCAAAGAACGTGGCCGGTGGTTCCGCCGGAAGGATCCCCGCCAACCTGGCCCTGCCCCCCGTCGCTTAAGGTGGTGCCGCGACAGAGTGTGCATTTTTAGCGCAGAGGTACCGAAGACAAATTGCATGTGTTTATAGGTTGCTCCTGTACATACGCTCGCTTTAAGCTTCTTCTCCAACGTCGGTGGAAACCGGATGTAACTAAACTAGGAGGTGGCACTGCTGATGCGGGTTATCGGCTGGGGCTGGAGAGGTCTATCAACGCGAGGAGTTTTGGTCGGGTTAGATATTCGTAGGCGCACAAGCGTCAAAGACGGTTAACATGAATACATTCACGTTGTTTTCGATCTCGTTTTCAATCCTACTGATCCCTTAACTATATTCGATTCAATCTCAACGACCTCTTCTTGCGCACGACGAAAGAAAATAGAGCGTCAGCAGACAAATGGATAAACACATGAAAACAGTTGTTAGCGTCAAGGAGCACACTTCATCTTCCATTTTCGGTTTCTTTGCTTGTATTTTGAGAGGAAACTTAACCAGCGAAATGTAAGGCCTTGGACACTGTCATTTTCCTTCCTTGACAGGTTCCTTCGGTGGAGCTGGCCCCAGTCCCGGCCCGAGCCCCCGGAGTTCGCCAGGACACCCGCGACCCCGCGCTTGCAAAACTGAGAGGGTCGCGATAACCTTCCTTTGAGTTCAATTGAGAGATTTCTATGAGAGGCCAATTGGTATATGTCAAGCTTGATGGATATGGGAAGCTAGCCTCCATTTGCCCTCGGTCGACTACGCCTGCAGTAGTCCTGTGGGGGTCGCGCGGACCGCATTTGGCAGGCCACCGCGAACAAGGACTACAAACGTAGAAAAGAGATCATCAGATACTCTAGGCATTATAGTAATAAAACAAGGACATATCATCAACCCATTTCACATGGTAGACTGCCTATTTCCTCACTTCTTCATAAGTTCCCACATTCAATCCAACTATCTAACCGTCTTTTCGCATCGAATCTCACGACCCCGGCCCGAACTCGTGCATATCTACCATGTCTCAGTCCTACAAATCAGGCAGTCTTTTTGATATTCGAGGGATTGTGGCTGTTGTAACAGGCGGAGGCAGTGGTATGTCCGCAAGCATGGCTCTTTTATTACTCGGATGGCTAATCACAATTCCTGTAGGGCTAGGACTTTATATGACACGAGCGTTAGCAGAAAACGGCGCAAAGAAAGTCTACATACTCGGCAGAAGAAGAAAGGTGCTGGATGATGCTGCGAAAGAAATTGTGCGTACCGATGATCGCCAATAGTCCAATGCTCGCTGACTTATGGCAGGGCTGTGACAACATTGTACCGATCCAATGCGATGTGACAGACCGCCAAAGACTCAAAGACGCAGTGGCGATGATTGAAAAAGATGTCGGGTATATCAACCTGCTCGTTGCCAATTCAGGTATTGCTGGGCCTTCTGGAAACGTGCCTCCGGGCGCCTCGATTGCGCAAGTTCAAGACGCTCTCTTGGAGATCCCCATAGAGGAATTCACCAACACGTACCACGTCAACTGCACTGCTGTATTCTATACAGCGATATCATTCTTGGGACTCTTGGACAAAGGCAATCGGTCTAATTATCAGGGTGGAAGGAGCCAGGTCATTGCAACCAGCAGTATTGGCAGCTTCAACAGAAAGATCACTGCTGGATTTGCTTACGGCACTAGTAAGGCGGCAACTACGATGATGTTGAAGGTTCTGGCGACGTATTTGGTGCCGTACAGGATCCGAGCCAATGTACTCTGCCCAGGACGTAAGTTGGCGCCCAGCAAACAAAGTTTCCGGTCAACGATGCTAAACATGTCAAGTGTTCCCGACTGATCTCACTACGAGCCTAATCCAAGGCTCGGATCCTACAGTTGAGGGAGCCTTCCCCTTGGATCAAATACCTGCTGAGAGAGCAGGTCTTCCGGAAGATATCATGGGACCGCTACTGTATTTGGCTTCACGAGCTGGCGCATACTGCAATGGTAATTGCGTCTTGACGGATGGTGGCCGGCTCAGTGTTACTCCGGCTACGTACTAGACATGAGTGGAAACCTAGCGATGTAGGTAGGCCACGCGATCTCCGCAGTCCGCTACCCACTGTAGGCACATCGCGAATAATGTACGCAGTTTGAATTTCGAATTCAATCCTTCAAAACTCTCACTTGAAATTTTGAATCAATATACCGACTCCACAGCTCTATGTTATGATACGTCATCGTCTAGGCTTTCAGGAGTAGCCACAAGCTGAAAGTTCAACACTCAGCTCGTCAGGGTAGACCTTCTGAGCCTCCCTGCTTTCATGGGTTTCGGTAGTCGTGTGCTCGTTAAGTAGAGAACCTTTGTCAACGATAAAAGTGTAGCGGGGGGTCGAGAGTAGTCAATGGCCGTTGACCTTCGGTCGCGGCATCCAATAGCCTCCGGTCCGCAATCCCGGCTCGAACGCTGCCCCACTCGCCGGAGCACCCCGTGCGGGGCCAGCCCGCCTTCATGAGTGTCAAGCATAAGACGGGTCGACCTCGGTCTCGGACAACTTTCGTTTTCCGGGCGTTGCCCTAGGTCCCTCCATGAAAGTTATGTGCCCGCCATCACCGCGACGCGCTCCGTGCAGCTTCGGCAGATGATGGTGAATCCGATGAGTTCAATCCAACCAGTGTGCCACCAATTCATCCTTGCTTTCGCAAACTGCGGACAGCGGATTGCCTCTCAGTCCAGGCTTCTTTGTTGATAAAACATAGAGCGTCATCATCACTGATACGTAATGAAAGCTTCGACACAACCCAGGTGGAAAGTTTGGCGGTGTGTAAGTTGACGACGATAGACCGCCAAGGATCAGCACCCGAGGTTGTACTGCCGCTGTATGATCCACTCGCTGAAGCGAAGGTCTCAGGCCAAGCACCAGTATTATTATTGTTCTATCAACTATTCGCCGCCGGCCATCGTCGTATGGGGCCAGCTCATTTTCCACGCCGTCCGCTTTTTGGGGCTTTTCGGGGGCGCTATGACTCGACCATCGCCAACGACCAATTGGTGTTCTAAGCCGTACGCCTTTACGCAACAGGCAACCCATGAACGTGATGCATCAATTGCGTATCAGTCCGCGCAAAAGCAATCACAACCATACGAGACCTGGAGAAATGAAACTCAAAAAATGAGACAGGCCGTCGACTATAAAGCTCCTCGCGAAGAATGTTCAGAGCTGCATCGATCCAGTTCATGTCACCAGCCTTGACAAGCAAGCAGTTCATCCAATCTTTTCAGCATCTTTGACCTCGCAACATGAATAATCAACTTTTATTAGCCGTGGCGGCGTTCGCCTTATTTTTATACGTTGCTGCAGCGTTGTTCAATTGGGTGCGCTCTCCTCTGCGGTCCATACCTGGGCCTATGTTGGCGCGCTTTACGGACTTTTGGTATTTCTTTCGCATTCAGCAAGGCAATTTCGAAAAGGTCAACATTGCTCTTCATGAAAAATATGGTATGCCTATGTACAGAGACGCCAGGCTTGTTTGAGTGGCAATTGTTAATTGAGATGCACCCAACTAGGCCCCATCGTCAGATACGGCCCAAACCGATACAGCATCAATGACGCTGAGGCATCCAAGACTATCTACGGTCACGGAACCCAGTTCCCCAAGTCGATCTGGTACTCACCATTTCAGCCAAATGACACTTGGTGGAACATTTTTTCCGACCAGTCCATCAAACGCCATGCTCACAACAGACGCTTCTTTGCCCACGCCTTCTCAATGACATCGCTCGTAAACTACGAGCCGTATCTTGATGAGTGCGGCGAGATCTTCTCCCAACGCATGCTGGAATTCTCAAAGGCGGGCGCACCCGTTGACATCGGCCACTGGTTCCAGTGCTTTGCCTTCGATGCCGTTGCGTACATTACGTACGGCAAACGATTAGGCTTCCTGGACCGCGGCGATGATATTGGCAAGGTTATCGAAAACCTTGACGCCAGCTTGATTTACTCTAGCCTCGCCGGAATTTTCCCCTCATTCCATCGCTACATTGCTCCGCTTCTTTCAGCCATGGGTCCTCTTTTCCGCACCGACCGCATCATGTATGTGATGAACTTCACTCAGAGCAGGGTCACGGAAGAGCGAGCTTCGCCCAAGTCAGTCGCTGAGTTCAAGACCGATGTAGAAGGCGCGGGTGTCGGCGAGACTTTCTTGAGGAAGTATCTTGCCAAACACTCCGAGGACCCCGATGCCTTCACCAATTACCACATTCTCATTGGATGCGCGACCAACATGTTTGCGGGCTCAGACACAACCGGCATTAGTCTTTCTGGAATATTGTACCACCTGCTCAAGAACCCGGATTGCGTCACAAAACTGCGTGCCGAGATCGACGACTTCAGTAGCCGGGGCGAGCTTTCGGAGAATCCCACGTTCAAGCAGGGTCAGGACATGCCTTACTTACAGGCTGTCATCAAGGAGGCGTTGCGTATGCACCCTGCCGTCGGCCTGCCATTGGAGCGAGTCGTGCCTGAAGGAGGCGCCACCATCGCCGACCGTTTCTTCCCCGAAGGTGTACGTACTGATGAACTTTGAGGAAACAAAATATTTCGCTAACGTGTTCTTTTACCTTTTAGTCTGTTGTTGGCATCAATAGCTGGGTTCAACATCATAATAAGAGTATCTTTGGCCAGGATGCGGATAAGTTCTGCCCTGAGCGTTGGCTCATCGACGACGAAGACAAGCTTTCCCTGATGAACCGAAACTGGATGCCGGTAAGTGTGGTTCTCCAAGCTTTGCAGTTAGCGGTCTGGCTAATTTTAAAATAGTTCGGCTTGGGGTCGAGGACGTGCTTGGGAAAGAATGTTTCCACCTTGGAGATGACGAAACTGATCCCGAGAATCATCCGCGATTTCGACTTCAAACTTGACGGAGACGCGGCAGCACCTGGAGGATCTTGGACCACTGCCAACGCGTGGTTCGTGAAGCCCCGAGGCTTCTGCGTTCGGGTAGAGCCCAGAAAGCTCATCTCTTGAGATTGATGGCGTCTGCTGACCTTGGTGTCATGCACTTTGGAGTAATACCCCTTGCAGGACACATTGAGAATGACGCGCGGGCGGTGTTAATAAGGGGACATCTTAGACTGCTTGGTTTTCTCAGACACAATGTTGATGTATTTCATATTTTGCGCAATGACTTTCGATCAAGGCTGGAGGAGCCAGGATATCACGAAAAATAGATTGCAAGTACTTGAAACAAACTGTCACTGTTCATAAGTGATGAAATGTCAATCTCTTTTACACCTCCAACCATGTTTGCATGTTATAGTATGTACATGAATATTTTGGTATCCAGTAACTCGATCTTGGGAACAACGTGACAGAGTCGCCGTATTCAAGTTTTCTAATGTTTTACCATCTACCATTTGGCCTTCGCCCGCATGGTGACCAACACGGGCCGATCGCGTGAAGATTCAGCGACGTCTACTGGCCGCCGCAGTATCCGCAGCTGGTGCACGAATCGACAACGTAGAGGTGGTAGTTCCAGCGACCGGCGAGGCCGTTGGTGTCGTGTCCACCGGCGGGGACATTGTTGCAGTAGGTGATGCAGTTGGAGAGTTGGTTGCCGACTTCTCGGTTGTGACCGGACACAGTACCTCCAATGGCGGTACAGGCAGCGTCCATGGCGGGGAATTGCTCTGATTCGCAGGGGATGTAGCTCTGAGCGGGAGAGGTGACGACACCGCAGAATTGTGCAGCGGCACAAGAGGCCAATGTGGCAAGAGAAAGAATGGTGAACTGCATGATGGCGTTTGGGAGGTGATTGACAATGGGGTTGTGTCAAAGGTGATGCAGTTTGATGTCTGAGCTTGTGATGATGAGAATAGAGTGTACAAGATGAATGCGGATTTCTGCCTGGTATTTATGTCTTGGCCACTCCATATGTCATTGTTACAGCTTCTATTCGGAAGCAGATCGCATCCGTCAATTGCGATTTACCTGTTGTTTACAAGTTTCTAGACTCTCGGCGGCTGATTAGAATGTGACAAAGCATGCTCTTCCTTGGTCCTATACGTGGAGACTTTGAAGCTTTTTGGCAGTTCATTTAAGCATGGTTACATGGAAGCCCCGATGTGAGAGTGGTCCGAGAAGAGGGGTAGTAGAAAACAGCCAACAATGACTATGTAGTTGGCGTTGGCCCACCAAACAAACAGAGCCTGGCTGGGATAATAGCCGGCGGGATCCGATGTCTTTCGATGCAAATGCTACAGTACCTGCAGACTCTCCACAGATCGGCTCTGGGTCGGGATGTTCCCGCCCCGAAGCGGTTGTCTGGCCCCGCAACCTTCGGGCGTAAAACCCCAGGAAGGCAGTTGGCTCCATTGCATCGTATTACAACCCGCGCGGTGATAGTGCGATCATGCACGAACATGTACCTCAACGGGAATCACCTGTGAGTTGTTCGTCCCATGGCGCCCGGTGCGACCGATTCCACGAGGACAGTAACGGTAATACTAAGCACCAGCATATGCATGCAAGCTGATTCCTAAATGAGGCTTCCTCTGTCTTAGACAGCGAGATGATGGGTTGTGCGGTGAATTAGTCTGGGCTGGTAGTTGTGGGATCGTCACTCTAGACCTCTCGGTTGAGCCGGGTTTCAATGACACGGTGGTATTCGCAAAGATGTAGCTGCCAAATGAAGCATTCACCGAAGGTTCGCCCTGTCATTCCGCCTGAACATTCCTCCACGAAGAATCGTGCCCTTCCCCGCTCTGTCCACGGAACCCGGACGCGGTTCCACTTTGAGACCTCGGCCGATAATAGTGGGTGTCTCGGCGCATCCCGCACGCTCGAGAACCGGAAACCATCGGTGACAAATGCACCGGATGACAATGCTGTCGTCGGTAGCTCCGGACCGACCTTTTCTCACAAAACTTCAAACGTATATCTCCTTGCTTCTCTCAACGGCGTTCCTTGGGTGCATTGCTGAGTCGGCGAAGCTCGCTGAATACAAATACCTTATGTACACTTAAGAATCGGTCTACTGCACATTGAAAATTTGAAAACCCTAGCTTTTTGTTGGATCATGCACGCCAAGGATTCAGAGAACGGGGCGGTCTTTGAAAAAGCTGTCGGTTCACATGCTCCCGGCACATAATTACCCAGATGCCAGGAGGCAAGGGGCTGGGGAACTTCGGCATCAAGGATTCTTTCCTCCGTTCCGATAATGATGACATTGAAGTAGGACAAGACTCATTTGTTGTCGCGTGGCAAAAGGACATGATTCACCTCTCAGCGTGCCAGACCACGAGGTAAGGTAGCACGGGCATGTCGGCCTCGTTTCTTCTTGAACCAGACACCCCACAGATCGTCAAAATGTCTCTGTCGATAGCCTACGATTGGCCGCCAAGACATCGGAAAGTTGCTTGCTTTCTATACGCGTGGCACGCCGAACTGAGACATTTGGGCCAAAACAGACATGGATTTGATCAATCAAAGACATTGAAGCCACGCGTTAGAAGAGAGACACTTCCAGGGGTCTATTAGAGTCGGCGATGCGCTTGATTACTGACCCTCGATGGAGCCAATGGGGCTACCGGATTGCAGCCTCCCTTCCTCCCTGCGTTCCTCTCAACACGAGCTAAGCCTTCTCCCTCCTCCCTAGTGCCGACGATGACTTTTTGATGAGACTTTTGATAATGAGATGTGATAGTGAGGCTTCTGAACCGGAAAAGCCGGGCTACACCGCTTCACATAAAGAACGCCATGCTGCCGCCACGAGGGAAAATTGCGTTTATGAGATAATAGACTTTGCTCCTCAGTTTCACTCCTCCAGTCTGACCGGGCAACTGTCTTCTCTTGAAATCTCTCTTCCCCTCTGTTTACAAAATTCTGTCTCTCTCAACTCAGGTTGCGCAAGGACCGAACATCACGCCGGATCTGGTAACATGCACGTTTCCATTCTCCCCCTACCATGTCATCGGGATATCTGAATCAATCAATTTGCTGACCAAGTCAGATGAGCCAGGATTCGCTTGTCGGGACCCCTTCCAGCAAATTAAAGTGCAGAATCTGAACTTGTTGCTCCCGGGTGGCCACCTCGTGTCACATAGCCTTTGTCGCTTTGGTACTTCAGCTGGTCCAGGCCTGTTCTGCCGACCACAGACACACACACAATACACACGTGCGTTCTGCACCTGGCGAAAGAAGAAAAGGTAATTGTGTTCCCGGAGCTCGGACTTCGGCTCGCCATTTCGTGCAGGAGATTTTGCTTTCCTGCAGGACCGAACGTTGCTGTAGGATTCTTGGGACGCAGTCTCCCGCCGCGTTTTACGTTTCAGACGGAGACGGAACGGCCGTGAGGAAGCAGCGCCACCGCTAGAGATTTGACAACTGCGGGAATACTTGTATCACCGTTGTCTCTCTTCTCCCACGCGTATCTAAGACAATTTCACCCCCTCGTGGCACAGCGACTTTCCGCCCCAATCCCCGGAAGCCAGAGACCATAACTAGGCGACAACGCCTCATTCCGCCCCTCGTCCGGATTCTTTTCTTCGTTCGAACCAGTTCGCCGCCATGGTTATCGTGGAAACCCCCAAAGACCGTAAGGCTGAGGCCGCGGCATCGCCTGCCCTGCCGGACTATGTCACTTCCCCGAACGCTGTGTTTGGCGACGAGGGCGTCCAGTGGCGATATGGCAGAGCGCCCGATTACACAAAGACACGGAGGGTCTGGAGAGAAGGTAAGATTATGTCTCTGCGCTTTCAAACGCGAACGGTGGAAGCTAATTATGTGGCTAGGCAAGAAGATGAACCACGCTGCTGGCAGCTTGCCGGAGCTGGTCGAGAACCTGGTCAAGAACTGGGAGGTTGAAGCGTCCTTCAAGACAAGACTTCAGGACTGGAGGACTGTCGACCACGAGAAGTACACATTCTCAGTCAACGGCGGAGCAGCGCAGTCAGGCGAGCACATGCTTAAGGTCGGCACCTACAACGCCGTCATCTCGCCCAATGAGTACTACAGCCCCGACTACTCAGACTTCGCGTCCAGCCACAAGACCTTCAAGCGGATGATGCCTACTTTCGCTTGGGAAGTGCTCGAGGTGTATAGCGGTCCGCCTGTTGTTGCCTTCAAGTGGCGCCATTGGGGCGTCATGAAGAACGACTACGTGGGTTTTAATAAGTATGCATCCGCCATTTCTCATTTGAGTTCATTTTCTGACCACTTCGTTTAGCAAAGGGGAAAAGGTGACCGCAAAGGCGCATGGAGGACCAATCGACATCCAGGGTGTCACGATTGCGCGGGTGGACGAGAAGCTTCGGCTCCAGGCGGTAGACACCCAGTTCGATTCCTTGCAGATGTTTCAACAAATTGCGCCCAACGGCGTTGTGAGGAAAGATCCCATCGGTAAGACTGTCGATCCTGAGACCAGGTTCGACGAGGCTATTGCCGCAGAGGTGAAGATGACCGCCAAGGAGCTCAGCGACCTTCATGTTGGAGCGTCGGGCAATGCTTCGGGATGTCCTATGATGAATAGAGAATAAGAAATGTGTCAATGGTGCGGATAAATCACCCGTCCCAACGAAGAGGTCGCTGCAGTATTCGTAGTACCATGGGGTTGGGCGCCGCTGAAGTCTTACGAGCATCGAATTCGAATATTGTTAATACTTAGTACCCAGACGCATGAAAGTATCGTCCGTTTCAAGGGGCGTAGTCCCACCTTTCATTATTCACGTTCAAGATTCCTCCTAGTCAGGACGCCTTGAAATTTGCGGGCAATGAATTCGAAGCTAGGATCTCAACGGCTCGGCTACAGGTGGCATATTGGGACTCCAAAGCCACTCCACGCCAGTATGGTCCCAGAACTTGATCATTGTGTAGCCGTCACTCCGCATTCCGGCCTGCCTTAGCCGCCCCTTGCCACCCGTTGGTTCCGGAAGATCGAACCCACCCGCAAGCCCAACGCCTCCCTTGAGCATGTGGAGGCCCACTCACTCAAAGGTGCCGTCGGGTAAGGCCGGTGGGTGTACTGAGAAGTGTCTCAAATCGGCCGGGTAGATCTCAGATACATGCCAGGCTAACGGGAAGCCGACTTGGCGGGAAACGTCGGTTTTAAAACCGACTCCTGAGTTTCTCGAAAGCCGCAACGACGGTGATCATACATGCTGAGATTGTCGTTGAAACCTTCAACTTCCAAGTTTCAACGTTTCGAAAGTATCGATTTTCGGAACGGGCACATTCATTCAAGATCTAATAGTGCAGGCTAAGAGTCCATTGGCTACAAACAAAGCTGCTATTCAACGAGCTCCTGCCGGCGCAACTGGGCGAGGACACCCATCACACCCGGCTCCTTCTCCATCTCCTGCCACAAACGTGGCTCCCAGTCTTTGAAACCCTCGCGAACTCCTCCTCCTTTCTTTTCCGAGTTGTGTTCTGAAGACCAGCACCGAGACAGCCAGGCCCGCAAGACATGACTCTGTTTTAGAGCTTGAGTGGCCATTTCCATTATGCTTAATCCCCCCAGCACCAGCAGTAAGGTGAACCACCAAGCTGGATCACGACCGAAAAGAAGAAGCAAGCCGCTTCGAATAGAGTATGGACCTGAGCTGGGACCGGAGGCGACGGCAGTGATTAGAGCATAGACCCACACTCCAGCAACGCTGCCGAAAATGGCCCAGAAGGCAATCTGCGTCTTGTGATGTAGCTCGACGATCCTTGAAGGCGTTAGTCAAGACATTCCCCTTGTTTGCTTCAACTTGACTTACAAAAGCTTGATGTTGATCCAAACGACACAAGCAATGAAAGTTAAAAGACCTTGAGCGTAGAGGCCGTCGTCATCAATCATCTCTGAATCGGTATATCCAGCCCAACAACCGGCGTAGACAACGAGGCCAGCGATGAGGGCGTTGCCAACCCATCCGAGATACACCGCCATGTTCAGCCCCTCGCCATTCTGTCCATATCTGAACAATTCCGGGATCGTCGCCAAAGTCCGCGACTTGAGGTCCTGCTCCCAAGTTCCGAGGACGAGAATGCACACTGCCGTGAAGAAGCTGACGAATGTGAGACTTCCTGGTTCGTAGAGACTGGTCCCGGTTGCTCCGGTCTGCTCCTGAAACAGGGCCTGGGGGAAGTAGATAAATGTCTCTTTCCAAAACGTCGCAAGGATGAAGCGGGTCGTGCGGTAATAGTTCCATCGACCGTGAACCAACATCAACTTCGAAAGATATCGGAACTGAGAGATGCTGAAATCAGCAACCCGAGCTGCTTGCTGTCCCTCTCGACCGGAGATGCCAACTCCGACGTTGGCTGCGGAGATCATGGCCAGGTCGTTGGCTCCGTCGCCGATCGCAAGTGTCAAGGGCTTCTTGGGTCCCTGTTTGAGCCAAGAAAAAATTCCGGAAGCCTCGCTCGGTGGGCCTTTGCGAATTGTGTTGACAAGTAAAGCCTTCTGGGCAGGAGAAGCGCGACAACAGATGACCGAGTCAACCATGGTCATGAGAGAGACGAAGAGATTGCGAAGACGGACTGCAGAGGGCTCTTCAATGCAAGTCAGAGTCTCTCCATCAATGACCACCGCTGCGTGCGCACGCGAAGGATCAGAATACGACGGTCCCAGGCGATACTGAACTGCATCTGTGATGCCCGTCAGCTGCAGTTCCAGATCACCTTCCTTCACGTCGATGACGAAAAGGGATGTATCCGGGCCACAAATACGCGTGGAGTGTGCGATGTTGATTGCGGTTTCTCGCTTGTCACCGGTAAGCATCCAAATCTTGATCCTCGCCTGGCGCAATTTCTCGATGGTCTCGGGAACGCCCTTCTGCAACTTGTCCTCAACAGCTGATGCGCCAACAAGGTCAAAAGACTGCTCGAGTAGATCGCTCACATCCTCGATACGCTGCTGCCTATCCTCGAGACTAGTCTCTGCCTCAAGATAGCGCTGCTTCCAGTTGTGGTATTCTGCTGGCTCCAGGAATCTGCCGGCGTAGATGAGCGTCCTCAGACCCTCCGTGGCATACTCGTCAATTCGTGCAAAGCATTGACGAATGTTTTGAGCGTCATCTAGTAATTGAGGGTTCTCCAAAAATTGAAACCGAGATTGTTGTCCCGCTGTTGACCTCGTCGCATTGGCGCGGAGCGGCTGAGGCTGAAGACGAATCCACGAGTCTTCGTTGTTTGCTGTCGGCTGACTGTACTCCGAGCGATCGTCCATATCCCCCAACTCGGCGATAGTCTCTTCAAATTGAGGTGTCTTATGTGTGCTCCAACGAGCAGAGATGGTTCGCGCCCCCTTGAAACCATCCTCGTTGCTGCTAGGGGCTCCTGTCATGTCCGACGGAGCAGATCGAAGACGAGGCAAGATGATGCTGTCGGCGCCTTTGCAAATGAGCCACAATCTGCCGTCAGGGCAGCGAACAACGATGGACATCCTCTTCCGCTTGCTGCTGAACTCGATAACGTCCAAGATCTCGTAGATGGTTTGAGAAGAGCTACCGTCTACGTGGGGCATCTGTACAGTGACCGACTGCGATGAGCGTTGCGTGACGATGAATCCCAGATCTCGCGCACCTCTGACTAGAGCAAGCTCATCCGGAGAAGAGGCCTGAAAGTCCATCTCTCCATCCTCCTTCCTCTCAGGCAAACAGGTATGACATAGCGCCATCGCAAGAATGTAGCGCATAGCCTTGGTGGCAAATGGAGAGTTCGGTCGTGCTCGGATGTACTCCAGCATATCGTCGGTTGTAAGATCCGCTGCTTGGTCTCCAAACTCGTCTGAGTCTGCTGCAAGGTCCATCCGATGCAGCCAGCTCGTGCCAGCGATATTGATGTGCCGTAGCTTCATGATGTTGTCAGTCAGAGTGCCTGTCTTGTCGCTGAAAACGTAGCTGATCTGACCAAGGTCGTCCAAGTTATTGGTGTTGTTGACGCCAGCGGTAGTATCCGTCTCCTTATGGTACATATCCAGATCATTACCAATGAGATTCATCTGGCCGAGCTTGATAGCCTCGAGGCCCACGTAGAGAGACAATGGGATCACGTTGTTGAACATGATGATGAAGCCAGCAAAAATGTCGAGGAACGGGATTGACGTGTTCTCGAGGTACCATGCAAACCGCTCTTGCTTGTCCTTCCAGACAACATACGCCACAGTCGCAATAGCCGAACTGAGTAGCACGTACATCATGAGGAAAACCACAATCTTGTTGGTCACGCTCTCTAACGCTGGCCGCTTCGGTTTCGTCGACTTGTTGGCATTCATCCTGATCTTGCACTCCTCGCCGGTATTGATAACAACCCCAACAACGCAGGAGGTATTCCGAATCGTGCTGCCGCGGTAAATGACTTCGTTGATCGTCAAGGGGCGAGTAAGGTCATCGACTGTCAGCTTGCTATCGAATCGGTACAGATCTGCATTGGGATCCTCGGTAGTCAGGTGCGCTGGACATGTTGCGATGCCTTCGATGGTGCTGCAATCGGGTAGCGTCGATGGTCGCTGTTTCGCCTTCAGGCTCGTTTCGCCGTCGAGAGCCATCGTATCCACGTAGGCAAACCCGTTCTCGCCATCCGCATGAAGGAGCACGATGTCAGCTGGGACGTCGTCATCTCTGGAGAGCATAATGACGTCCCCGACTTTGATATCTCTCCATGCCGACCGCATCCATTGCAACCCAGTCGCGTTGGAGCCGCCGTAGTACTGCGCGCCCATTGGTAGCGACCCCTTCGTACCTGACGCAGCATCTCGAAGAACCACAGCGTCACGGTTGTTCTCCGCCACGTCCTGTCGATGTCTCTTCCAGTCGTAGTAGCCTTCTTTGGCGATGATGAGGGAGAGGAAGATAAGTAAGGGAATGAGGGTAGTGAATCTGCCGGTCGTGCTGAAACCAGGGATCACCTGCAGTATAGATATCGCCAACATGTAGGCGTTGGCCAAGCGTGAGAATTGGTACAATAATTGCCGCGGTAGGAAGTCGAAGACATTGTACTTTGACGTCTTGATAGCGTTGGATATGTATGGTTTCCGGCGGCGCTCATCTTGAAGGGGTTGTCGATGACTTAGCCCAATGGGGATATGACGACCATTTGCAGACGAAGGTAATGGACGCCTGTGGAAAAGCGAACTAATGGACCAGCCCTTCTTGTTCTGCAGCATTGTTGCGGTGTTCTCTATGGAGGGCCTGTAAGCTCAAGGCTAGCAGAGTCGCCCGTTGTGGACTGGGAGAATGAGACTGCCGGTTGAAGACTGTCAAATTGAATAGATTCCGTAGATGTGCAGTAGAGGTTCCTGATGATACGCCCGTTTGGTGGACTTGAATCCTCTGCAGAAGATGTTCTAATGATGACGGCCAGCATAAGCATTAAGATGACGGGACCTGGGAAGCTATTTCCAATTTGATTTGAAGTTGATCTCATTATGTTCAATTACAGAGACCAATTTTACCTTCGTCTTCGTTAAACACATCCCTTAGTTACCCGGCCCGCAAGCCAAGGATACTGCGGCGTGTCGTAGAATAGTTCCGATACAGTTGCACTACGAATCCCTGCATCCTCCGCACGAACCAGCCCCTGGCCAAAGGCACTTCGAAAGAGAAAACGATAACGAGATTCTTGGCACTGTAACCACGATTGGTTGGCGTTATACGAACTCAGCCCTGCCGATCCCTAGCGGATATTGTAATGCCCAGCTTCGCGCAGCAAAAACGCGCGTAACCCTCCGTAACGTCAAACACTGCCACAATTCGGGCGGTTTCTGCCACTACAAGCTTGATTTACACGGGATTTAGACGGCATCGGCATTCGATGCCGCAACAACTGCACATTTGAAGATCCACCCCTGCCTCAATTTACCTCTTGGCCTGACTCGTTTTCAGCTTGCATTCTCCCTTGCTTCGCCGCTGCCTATGGTTAAGGTTTCACCCTGTCTACGTAGGCGGCGCCTAGCGGGCGATCGAAACTGAATTTGATTCTTATCATATTGTTTTTCGAGACTTTGCTTTGGGCAGTGGAGGTCCGTAGTTGATGAGACACGAGCATAGCCAGCCACGGGATAATCTCAAACATCTTCACGTCGACGATGAGTGGGACATTTGTCATGAACATGCATAGATGTACCCTATCGCCAGCGTCTCGACCGCTTCCATCTGTCTGAAGGTGGCTGCTCTCATAGACCTTTGCCAATTGCATTTCTAAAAGCCTCAGCACACTTTACCCGCTTTATCTTCCGTTCAGAACGGCAGCCTCTCTTCATCGAAACACCTCTGCACATCTGCAATGGCGCGTCTTCGACCTGGGAAGGAAGTTGCGGGTGAGAAGACAAACAAGCCAAAGGACACACCTTTTAAACAGCAGCGTATGAAGGCATGGGAGTATGTAGAATCTGGTCCACGCATCATGCTCTCCTGCTGACTGGCCAGGCCTATTCTCACGCCGAAAACATCAATCAGAATTTTTCTCTTCATTGGGATTATCTTTCTTGCCATCGGAATTTTCTGGCTTGTTATAAACGATCAGGTATGTGCGCCTAGATCTGCCAGAACTTGAGATTCGCATGATTCTTATCTTTGTCACAGGTCAGGGAAATCCGACTGGATTATACGAAATGCCACGAAATCGAATCGTACGACGAGCTCGAGGTGATGCCACCAGATAATGTGGAAAAGAAGTTCAAAGCATCTTCCGCGGGACAGCTGGTGGACCAGTGGAAGCGGTCGAACAAATCTTTGACTTTCGATGGCGTCACCAAGAACTACACACTTTGCACCATGGAGTTCTTCCTCCCTGAAGAGTTGCAACCACCTGTGCTGTATTACTACCGTCTTACAAATTTCCATCAGAATCACCGCGAGTATGTCAACTCCCGTGACAAGAAACAGTTGATGGGCGACAGCGTCAGCATCAACGCCATCAAATCGTCTGATTGTGGGCCTCTGAAGACGCGACAGACAGAGGACGGGTCGGAGGAGATCATCTTCCCTTGTGGAATGATTGCCAATTCGTACTTCAACGACACCTTCCACGATCCGATCCGTCTGCCCTCTTCAAGCGGCTCAAACCAGACGCATACATACAATATGTCCCGAACTGGCATCGCCAAAGATATCGACAGGGCAATCTATCGATCGAGTAGCTACCAGATACCTGCAGAAGCCGGCGGAAACGATACCTTAATTGTTCCTCCCCCTGGATGGGTCGAGCGATTTCCGAACGGATACCATGCTGGCAACATGTTCAACCCGGCGGAGGATGAATCTTTCATGGTTTGGATGCGAACATCGGCCGGGAACAGGTTTGCGAAGCTTGCCATGCGCAATAACGATGACGCCATGGAAAGAGGAATGTACCGCATCGAAGTCATTTCACGTAAGGCCCAGGGACCGTTTCTGTGATCCAAGCAACCACTGACATTTGCTCAACCAGACTTCCCGATCCACAAGAATCACGGAACAAAATCGATCATCATCTCCACAAACTCAGCGGTCGGAAGACGCAACGAATTCGTGGGAAGAGCTTACACGGCTTTGGGCGCCTTTTCTGTATTTGCCGCCTTCCTTTTTGCACTTACATTGAGATATCGGCCAAGGAAGCTTTCTGAACACGACTATCTACATCGTAGTAACCTATTACTTCGAAATCGGAGCGCAAGTCTTTGAGTTTGTTTGCTTTTTAGTCGACTGGAGTTCGCCTTTGGATAGATCAACTAGAGATGTTTATCATTGCATTGAGCCTTCGTTTCGTCTTGTTGCTTTATAAATACTTTGCACGACACCTTACTCGTGGCATCGAAAGCTGGCCTACCTTAAGTACCTATGGTAAACTCAGAGGGGTTGCTTGGTCAAAACTAGCGAATCACCCCGATCGTGTGTTATTGCAGCCAGTGGACGCTGTACAGAAACTCGCTTGCATGCAAGATCCTTTTGCTCTGGACCAATAACAGTTGCGGGCGACGATCAGGGAGGGGTTGACAGGAAAGGGGATCACCAGTGTTGGCTGCCGGCGATCCCTGAACGAGCCTCAGCCTGATCCAGAACTTCACCCACGATTTACAGTGTCCGCCGCAGCAATTGGATCTCCGCGGTACAAGCAAATCCGAACAACGTTTTCGACTTTGGAAAATCATATCGTATCGCTATGGACATCGTTCATCACGACGTCGAACAAGCCCCACCCCCGGTGGCCAAGGGCAGGATCTACGCGACGACGGAGGAGCTATGAACCTGTCATCAAGGGGTCATCACCCGGCTGTACAAAGACGAGAACAGGCCGTTAAAAGAAGTGAAGCAGATCATGGAGACTGAGTATTTCTTCCACGCAACGTACGTCCAAGAGCCTGCCGTCGAGCCCTGGAGACACGAGATCCAGGGGTTTTCACCTGACTTAAACAGTAGTCGAGAACGTTGCGGGCTAACGATTTCAACCAAACACGCAGGGAGAGAATGTAAAAGACACGGATCAAGCGCTGGGGCCTCGACAAAAAGTTCAAGGAGGCTGAGATACTCGCCATGCTCAAGCTCAAGCGGGACCGCGATGCCGTCGGCAAGGACACGCGCTTCGCCATTCGCAACCAGGACGTCGACTGGGGCCGCGTGGTCCACTACCTCAAGCGCAGGCCCGAACTGCAGGACACCCTGCGCCTGTCAGCCGCCGCTGGTTCCGATAAGTCCGTCGTCCAATGGGATCGTGTCGTCCAATATCTGAGCGAGAGACCGGATCTGCGGGAGGACCTCGAGGCCGTCGCTCGCCTCGACGTCGTCTGTAGGACGCCCTCGCCCGTCCCGGAGCCGCTCGACCCGGCCCCCGGCCTCCGCTTCGCCGACGAGATCCTCCGCATCCTAAGCGGCTTCTTCGACGGCGTCTTCCAGGACAGCGTGTGGTCCGTCGTGGACGGGGCCCTCTGCACCCGCGGCCGGCGCCCCAGCCGCAAGCGTCTCAACAAGTGGTGCGGCGTCATGGGCGGCGTGTACGAACTCCTGGGCCGCGGCGAGACCGAGGCCGCGACCGCCATCCTCAAGAACGAATATAACTTCATCAAGTGGATCGTCCAGAACTCGGACCCGGAGCTCACCTACTTCCTGTGCTACAACGTGCTGCAGCAGCCCCCGCAAGTATCCGACGTCCTCGTGCCGTACGCTTGCGGCATGTACGCCACGGTGCTCGGGGAGCGACACCCCCTGACGCTGATTTGGCGGCGCATTAGAGCAGCCGGCGTGGCAGACCGTGTCGGCATCCTGAGCGCTATGGTTCGGTACACTTCGATGTACCTAGAGACGAGGCTGGACGTGCTAAACGTCACGATGAACTGGATCCATGGGCTTCAGGGCCAGCTGCTAGAGGCGCTTGGAGAGACAGGAGGTAATGACTTCCTGCGCATAGTATCGATGTACACGCGGGCCGCCAGGGAGTACGCGGACGTGGGACGCCTCAAGGACGAATGTAAATGCCTCTTCGCGCTGGTCGGGCTCCATAGCACAGCGAAGAGGTACGACCTGGCGATGCAGACGCTGGGGCGGGCTCACGGGGTCGTCGAGGAGGTGCGCCGCAGCCACCCGGCCGCCGAACAGCTGATGCAGATGTGGACATACGGCGAGATGGGCCAGCTGAGCTACAGCGTGATGAGTGCCGGCAGGTACAAGAAGAAAAAGAATTACGTGCGGGAGCACGCGTACGCCATGGAGAGGTACGGGGAGAACAGCAAAGAAGCGTTATCGCACATGCTGGAGGTTTTTAGTGCGCTGCCTTGTCGGCTGTGACGAGCTTATAATCACGACCGAAGGAAACAAACGTTGGAATGTTTTATGTGACCAAGACGGATAAGAATCAGATGTTGTGCCGAAATAAGCGCAATCGAGGCACTTCTTAATGTGGTGGGATAACTTCTCCTCTATACATCGAGAATGTTTTCTACAAGACAACATCCTCCCTAAAGAACTGGATCATATCTTTTCCGAATCCTTTCGCCAAAAAGATAAAGTCCAGCCGGTATGGGAGCAAGAAGTAAACAAACTAATGCCAAAAGGCTATTTCCCCATCCTAAGCCGAGTGCATCGTACATCTTTAGCCCTCCAAGGGGCATTAATGCCCCGATCAAGGATCGCAAGAGTATGACCGCAGCAGATCCTGATGCCGCGTATCTCGGGTACGAGTCCATTTGATAACTTTGAAGAGACATCTGAAGAGCTGTCAGCTTTAAAACAAGGCTTCTACATCAGGAAGTAGGTTTTACCGTTGCTCCTGTCAAACCAAGCGCAAACATCATGGCGCCAATCATGGGGACAATCCAATGGACTCTGTAATGGCTTGCCCATCCGTAGAGTAGCAGCCCGGCGGGCATCAGCAACTCTGCCGGAAGAGTGATCCAAGGTGTCAGCTTGACCTCCAGCTTGTATTTTCCATCGTCATCAGAAGTCCTCTTCGCTCGCAGCACCAGATAGTCTTGTATGTGTCCCAAGCTCAACACCCCGATCATCATGCCCAGATCCGCAGGAAGAAAAGACAGCCCGGTGTCTCCCTCGTCAAAACCGTACTGTGAAGAGTAGACGAACGAAAACGTGGTTACAAGGAGATAGAATATTCCGTAAACAATGCCAACGTAGACCGCAATCGTCGAGACCAGAGGTGTCCGGAACAGAAATTTGAGCGGTCGAATGAGGGCCATCTTGATTCGCGAAGGGCCTTCTGTGTCGAGTTTGCTCCGGAGATTGTAGTTGCCCGTTGCTTTTCGCACCGCCTTTGCTTTCCGTTCTAGCAAAACAGGTGCGTAGGTCTCCCTCATAACCAAGAGTGCGAGGACGCCAAAAGCCCCTCCCTGTCTCTGTCAACGATGGTCATAACGACGTAGAAGTACCACGTACCAAGATGGCCAGTATCCAGTAGACCCACCGCCAACCGGCTGCCTCGATCAGGTATCCTCCTGCGATCGGTCCAAGGGCAGGGCCTAACAGAGGCCCTATTGCCCATAAGGAGATTGCCCTGCCTCGCTTCTCGGGTTTCATCACGTCGACGACGCTTCCTACTCCGACGGTCGTAGGGACTGATCCAGAAACACCCATCAGAAGTCGAAAGGCCATTAGCATGTCCAAGTTCACACTCAACGCCGCACCAATGCTGAATGCGGTGAATGCAATGTTTCCCGCATGGTAAACGTACATCCGCCCGTGCATCTCGCTGAGGGGAGCGATGACAAGTGGACCAAAGGCAAATCCGAGGAAGTAGATCGAGACCACGAATGTTGATGCCATAGGAGAGCTATTGCCGAATTCCGCCATCAACTTCGGGACACCAGGCGCAAACATTGATGAACCCTGTCTCCAATAAGCATTGAACAATACGGCGCAGTCTTATTACTTACCAGAGGCCTGTAATTCGTTAGCGCTTCTCAATACTCAGGTGATAGACGTAACTCACGATATGATTGACAAAATTGACATCACCGTTAGGTTTACCCATTTACGCGACTCTGGCCAATTCATGGGATTATCAGGATCGTCGGACCCGTTCCAGTCGACAATTCTTTGGTTTTCAAGAGCATCTTCATCGGCGAGTATTCGGTTTGCATCTTGTCCTTTGCATTCGGATTCCTGGGCAGAAAGACGAGTAGCGGGGACTGTCGGTGAGAGACCAGAAGTCCCTTTTTCGATATCAGAGCTTCCCGCCATTTGGTTTTGTCGATGTCAAATGATACCTTCTTGGACTGTAACGCGATCACTTGGTTTGACCACAGGTCATTCTTTATTCCATGATCCCTTTCTTCTATTTTTTCGCGGTATCCCACATATCTCGCTTCTGGGGGTTGCAACCTGGCAAACGATCTATGGATCTCATCTCGGATTTCACACTCTTTTCGTAGGTGAAATTCCGTACCATCTATGGAAAGGCATTTGCACCGGCCCCGTTCATCGTCACCTGCTGAAACTTGATAGGGCTCACATAGGACGTATCTTCTAAGAGAGCCTGGGTTTACTTCTAGATTGCCGAAGTTTACCACACGGCGCAACTTCAATACAACCATTAATGACTTACAACATGACACACCATCGATCGCGTTCTCGTCACCATCATCACGGGAACGATAACGACAACGACGACGAGATGCCCCGCAGATCTACGAGCTAGTCTGTCTGTGATTGCGGGAAGGGGCTTGGCTCCAAGATTCGCTTCTAGGCTTGGCTGTGCAGGGCGAAGACCATCTAGCCTCCGAATGATACGCCCTACGATTTCTGCGGAGTTGTATTTGACCGCCACAGCGCACGCCCAGGGTCTAAAAACCTTGTCCCGAGAGCATGCCGTACCCATTCCCCCGCCCGAACCCCGTAGAGATCTACAATTTGGCTTCAGATTGGCCGCGCAGTACGATGCAGTCTGATCCCAACGAAACCATCTGTGGGCGCTGTCAATTGGAAATGTTCCACAATCTCAAAATTACCCCCGGATTTCTAACGCTGGAACAACGGGATTCGTTCCCCCTTAATAGCGCCCAATCCCGTCGCTCATTGGTTCATCCGAATGAAGCAAGCTGGTGCCCTAAAAGGCTGCGTCTGATCTCTCGGGCTGATCTCATTGCCGGGTATCTCGTTTTCGTCTCGCATCCTTTTCCCGTTTTCGCATCTCCCAATGATTCGTCAATGCTGCAATCGCCGTCCCAGCCCCGTCAGGGGTACCCCCAGACGTTGCCCTTCCGGAGCCCACCAATCCGGGCAGTGATGATTAGGCGCACTGGCGGTCGCATCGATTCGGCTTCCAATACTCGTATTTCTCGGGTTACAAGGGTTGACCGTCTCATTGAGACGGAGAGCATTCCAAACATGCATTTTCGGGCACATTTGCGATGTTGAAGACATGCTTTAAATCCCCTTTCCTATCGCTGGATGGGCGCAAACACGGACCAGAAAAGAGCAACGACGCATCACACTCTTTTTTCACGCAGAGAAGAAGGCAAAATGTTCTTACAGATCGACATTTGGACAGGCCTATTGGCCTTCTTTGGCTTGGTGAGTCCGCCGCCTCGATATCTGAAACGGCCACATCTGACGACATTTGCCAAGATCGCGGTCTATCTCGCATTCTCAGTATTTTACAACCTGTATCTTCATCCACTGCGAAACTTTCCGGGGCCTGTTCTTCTCCGAGCCACACGACTAGGCTTCGGCTACAAACTCAACAAAGGCACGCTCCCATTTGACATCTTAGAGCTGCATAAGAAATACGGCGACATTGTCCGAGTGGCGCCCAACGAACTTGCCTTCAACAATGTCAGCGCCTGGAAGGATATCATGGGCCACCGATCGTCCGGTGCGCCGGAATTTGAGAAGTATCAAATGTTCTACCGCCCAGTCACGACGATCCCTTCTACCATTGTCAGCTCCGGCGGAAAAGAGCACGCATTGCTGAGGAGGTCAATGTCGCATGGCTTCAGCGAGCGCAGTCTGCGGGATCAGCAACCCCTCATCATGCAGTATGTGAATCTCTTCATCCAGCGTCTTCACGAGAACTGCGCCAAAGGCGAACCGATTGACCTGATGGCCTGGTACAACTTTACAACGTTCGACATCATCGGCGATCTTGCGTTTGGTGAGCCATTCGGTTGCCTGGAAAGGTCAGATTATCATCCATGGATCCGCACCATCTTCATCTCAGCTCGGCTTGGGACAGTCGTCCAAACTGCCAACCACTACCCCTGGATGAAGAAGCTGATGCTCAACCTGTTGGCGACCAAGTCCGCAAGAGCGAGTCGCGGAAAGAATCTCAACAACGCCAGAGAGAAGGTCCAACGACGCATGGACCTGGGCGGTAAGGGAGGCAGACCAGATCTCATCGAAGGATTGCTGAAGAAGAAGGATGAACTTGTAAGCTCTAACCCTGTCGTTCTCTGATGTAGCCCGTATGCATCAACAACGCTGTATCCGTTGACTTACTTGTATACTCCAGGGTCTCTCTTTCGACCAGCTCGCTGCCAACAGCAACACGCTCGTCATCGGAGGATCAGAAACAACAGCCACTCTGCTGTCCGGGGTGACTTATTATCTATTGACCAACCAACGTACGCTTGAGAAGCTGGTATCTGAAGTTCGGTCGACCTTCGAAAAGGAAGATGACATCACCATCATCTCGGTCAACAAGTTGAGCTACATGCTAGCTTGCCTGGACGAGGCTCTCCGTATCTATCCTCCTGTTTCGATGGGTCTACCCCGGGTGACTCCCAAAGAGGGCGCTACTGTCTGCGGTCGCTTCATACCTGGAAATGTGAGCTGTCCGAAGAGTATATTCCCAACACTAAAGCTGTATTTCTGACTGACTTCAACGCAGATGACTGTCGCCATTCATCAATGGGCGATACATCACAACGAAGCCTACTTCAAAAATCCGTTTAGTTTCCGCCCGGAGAGATTTCTCGGCGACCCAGAGTTTGCTTCCGATAACCGAGACGCATTCCAGCCCTTCCACATCGGAGCCCGTAATTGCCTGGGACGAAAGTGAGATCACCCCTGCCATCACCGCCATTCGTGTTGTTTGAGAATTGAACTCAGTAGCTGACATGAGCAGTTTGGCGTATGTCGAGATGCGCCTCATTCTAGCTCGTCTGATTTGGAGTTTTGACCTTGAGCTTGCGGAAGAGAGTCGGGATTGGGTGGGACAACAGAAGGTCTTCATTCTGTGGGACAAGGGGCCTCTCAAAGTTCACCTCAAGCCTGTTGCTAGAGCTTGAAGCCATCTGAGAATGTATTCGTACTAGACCTGCTTTACTTTAGAACGACCATTTTGTCCGTAACTTGACTTGCTGCTGCGGACAACGGAATAATTAGCGAACGGTGATCGGCCCCCGCACTCGCTCATAGTCAGCCAAGACTCGACTCGGCCATCCATGTGAATGGCTGAGTTACACGCTGACCCAATCGGACCACGCTAACGCAGTTACTGCGCAGTAACATTTCGGCTATGTCCAATTGGGAGGCCGATAAGATATTGTTCCCATTATTACTGTGCGACGAGTCAATGAAGCCTGTCAAAACGTCGGACAAGAAAAATCCCCAACAAAATGACGTTATGTTCGACATGGATATGGTCAAAGGGAATTCTTTACTCAGCACTAGGTTGGTTCATGGCGAATATGATTGACGAAAATCCTTCGCGCGCAATGGTTCCAACACACTCCAGTGACATGAACATCAGCATGTGGCCGGATAGGGTCATCCCCGCCACCTTGCTGCAGGTACTGTACAGTAACCGCATGGCAAACACCATTTGGCCGTATCAGAAGAACTTTCTCCGCACGAAGCCGCCGTTACTGTACAGTTCGCGGATCACAAAAGCGGAGACAGTGACATTTCGATGAGTTTTGTACAAGTCGCTGTACAAGAAACCTCGCTCAAAAAGACAACCCACCCAACTAGACAGGCCATTCGAAAGCCAAAATTCTCCTCAGGTTCATCTCGGAAACCACCGTAAAGACTGATAGAACATAGGTTGTTGCCTGCGTGTCTATCTCTATCAAAAGTCTCATAAGCCCTCAGCGCTCTTTCGCTCCTGCAAACCGACACGATGTCCATTCCGCGCGACCAGCTCAAGTTCCGAGCTCCCCCCTCCATGCAACTCAGCGATGGTTCCGCCACCTCCAAGACCGCACCCCCGCTACCCACCTCCAATCTCACGCCAGCCGAGCGGGCCACGGCCCGCTTCGCAGTCACCGGCAACGCCATCATCACCGGCGGGGCCGGCGATATCGGCTCCGTCGCCTGCAGAGCTCTGTTGGAGCACGGCCTCCAGGGTCTCGCCATCTTTGACCTTCACCCAGACGCGGGACAGGCAATCGTCAATGATCTTCATTCCGATTTTCCCGATGCCAAAATCACATTTACAAAAGTGGACGTGACAGATGCTGAGGCAGTGTCGCAGGCGGTTGCACAGGCCGAACGTGACATCGGTCCGATTAACCTGTGCTTTTGCTTCGCAGGCATAGCCTTCGCTATTCATGCACTGGATATCACGCCGGAGCAGTGGCGAAAGATGCTCGAGGTGAACACCACCGGCGCCTTCCTTGTCGCTCAAGCTGTGGCGAAGTCTATGGTGAGCCGGGGGAGTGGCGGGAGTATTGTTCTCATGGCGAGCATTTCGGCGCACATTGTGAACTTTCCGCAACCGCAGGTTCACTACAATGCTGCCAAAGCAGCCATTCTATCCATCAAGAAGTCGCTTGCGGCAGAATGGGCAAGGTACGGAATCCGAGTCAACAGTATCAGCCCCGGATATATGGACACCATCCTGAATGAGGGCGAGGGTCTGGAAGAGCATCGGCAGACTTGGAAGCAGAGAAACCCTTACGGTAGGATGGGCAAGCCGGAGGAGCTGACTGGGGCTGTGATTCTGTTGGCTAGTAGAGCCGGCAGCTACATCACCGGAGCGGACATTCTTGTCGATGGAGGTATCAGTGTCTTTTAACGATATGAGTTGAGTTCGAAAAGAGTATCTTGAGTTGACTCTTCAACCATCCAACTTTTGTCGCGCTATTTATCAATCTCGTCTGTCGACTAGGACTAGTGAAAATCCCAACCCTCCCAAGCTTACAATCGTGCTCACCTGCCGATGTTTTTTGCGCCCTTCGGCATAAGTCCGATTCGGTATAAGCCCGACCCGACCCCATCTGCGGGGGACCGCGTCGTGTCAAGAATGATTTTTTAGAGATACTTGGCCAATACGCTTAGGCTCTGACAGTAAGTTGCGGAGACTCTGGCAGTTACCGCGACTTGTCTTAGCACATCCACCGTGGGACTAATACGCCCGAACCAAAGAGCTCACGTGTGTTTCATAACTCATTCTGTTTACTCCCTCGTAATATGAGCGAGACCCTCGACCCATTCTCCACGTAAGACCCACCCCCAAGTAACGAAATCCCCCCACAACAAAATCGCTAAAATCATGCATTTTGACCCTCACCCTAATAATTATATTTTTACGTATTGCTAAATATCTCTACCGTTCTGTAATAATAATATATAATTTTACGCTCTCTTTATTATCAGAAGATTTACTATTAATTAATATTATTTCTAACTTAATTAGATAGTTCTACACCTCCTATTTCTTCTTATAAATCTCTTTAACTATTATAAACCTCTCGTTTAGGTTTAATTTAACTTTAGTACGTTTTTTTAGCTTATATTTCTTAACTTATACCTTAAGGGACTTAATAATTATCTAGTTACTTACTATAGCTATATTATTAAGGTCTAGATATATATTAATCTTATAAATAAAGAGTATATAAACTATAGTATTAACTTCGCTAAAGCCTAACCTCATCCTACTATTAAATATCTATATAACATGCTATATATTAGCTAAAAACTTTAGTGTTTTAATAATAGTATTACTAGGCGTCTATACTATATCTATAGATATTTTATACTATATAGAAACCTATAGAATATCTATTATAGTTAGTATATAGAAGAATTAACTTATTAATAGCTTAGCTATATTTATAAGCTATATACTTATTACTTTAAAGCTAGTATATATTATATAAGATTATATAATATCTATTCTTATATATAAATAGTATTAGAGGAAGTTCTGCTTCCTAATTAGCATAATATTAAAGGTATAGTTTTATTCCTTAAAGTGATATCTATAAGCCTTCTTAAGAGGTGAGAACATTACTATATTAAGAAGCTATATAAAGTGTGATAAATATATAAGTAGGTATATTAAGTAAATATTATTAATAAAGTATTTCTATATAAAATCGTTAGATATATAGCTTCTATAGCTATTTATAATAAGAAAACGCTTAGAATAAAGCTTCTTAGCTTCCCCTATAGTTAATAGGATAAATACTTTCTTTAGCTACTTAATACCTATAGAATTTAATATCTAGCTATTCTAAGATAATATAAAATACTATCCCTTAAAGTCTTTAAGTTTATTAGAGAACTATTACTATTAGATAGTTTTATTTTTAAAGATAATAAGTAGAAGTAGATATTTACTATTTACTAAGATATATTTAATAATAGAGGTCTAAGTATACTTATTAAAGCTCTAAATAAAGATTAAAAGCTTACTAGAATAGCTTAATATTAAATTGTCTTTTTATACTTCCTCTATAATTCCTATTTTATCTATATTCTATTAGAGGTTTATTAAGATACTTTTAATTACTAAGAGGGCTAAGATATTAAAGAACTACTTTATATTATTAATTAATATATCTTAACGTTAAGTATTAATCTTTTTTATTTTTAGAGTCTTAATAGTAAAGTTATAGGCTAGAAAACCTTCTATTTACTTCTTCTTAAGGGGTTAGGTATTACCTTTAGTATAGAGGATATATTTAGTAAAGATTTAGATATATTAGTAACTAGGGGTAAAGCTAAGGGAGCTTTATATAAGTACCTATAACGTTAGAGCTAACTTCTACTTTTTTATAAAGTATTACTAAGTTTTTTTTACTTCCCTCCTTAATATAGTGCTATTTAAATAGTAATAGATAGTAGGGGATAGCACTCCCTATTAATACGATATGTTAATAAGGTGCTTACCGCCCTACACTACTATAACTATAGCGGTAAGGTCCTCAGGGGTATATAAAGGTATAATATATAGCTTAATATTTTTAAAAGTATTTTTTTTAGTTATAGTAGCGTTAAAAAGTAGGGCTAGCTAGGATAAGGTGTGTTGTGAAGCATGCAAAAGTTGCGCTTTGATGCGATTTCGTTGTGGGGGGATTTCGTTACTTAGGGGTGGGTCTTATCTTAGTTATCATGGTTCGACATCAACATCATGTTCTCCTTCATCTCACTAACCGATGCCATCTATGTACCTAAGACAATACTATCTATTCTGAAGGTGTAGCTACCATTGGCACTGTGCGGCTGGAGCCTCATGACACCGAGAGGTTTTTCAGTCCAGAATTCCTGGCACATGGGTTTTCGAGTGTAAGATGCAGCAACAATCTTTTCTCCGCTGCTGGTCCATCTAATGAGGCAGGGGTACGGAGAATCAGCCCCCACCCAGCGTGCGGGACCCCAGCCTGGCGGGGGAAGGAATCCAACCTGGCTGTTCCCACAAACAAGGATACCCTATCCACTCCTTGGTGACAGGGGCGTAAGCAATCCACATGAGTCCACATACGGCTCAGCCCAACGAGTTAGCGTCCGCTAGTTCCACAGGTCTCATATTGCCTGCTCCGAGAAATGACCAACCTCTCCCTCTCCCAACTTCGTTCGCACCCGCATTGAGGCAGCATCTCGATCCAGCTTTGACACACGAAAACGCACAGATTCTGGGAATAAGGAGCAATGTCCGCGGAATCCTCAAACATCTGGGACAAGGATGACGAATGGGCTGGAGTGAGCAGCTCCAGAGAGCGAAGGAAACGGCAGAACCGGCTCCACCAACGAGCGTATCGTGAGTGCTACCCACACCCAGACGGAGATGCGACGGCCTCGGGATAGTGGTCGAAGTACCGACGTACGTATGCAGGCGGTTGTACCAACAACATCGAAAATTAGGTGCCAAAAAGCGGCTCGAGAAGTTCCCTGTAGCACTACATGCCGGTCTCGACGTGACGTCTAAAGCTGCTGCGGCTGGTGGCCCGAAACCGAGCGTCTCGGCCGTCATCCAGTCTACGACCTCCCGCCAAGAGCAAGCTCAGCTCTTCACAGCCGTCATTGACCAGCTCCCACTGTTGATCCTCGTCAGGTGTACCGGGCTCCACGAGAGAATCAAGGAGTTCCTGCAGATGGCCTTTACCAACTGGGGCCTGAACCTCCCCGCGGCGCGCGACCTGCCGCTCGTGACGCGGCTAAACACCTTTGACGCGCTGGCCCGCAACGCGCTGATGCTGCAAATACCCTTCGAAATGCTAGAAACGGACGAGTTTTGTTCTCTGTTCAACTACCAGGGGCCTAACACACCAAATCGGCCGAACCTTCCCGAAACGCTGTGTCCGACCGAACTGCAGAGGGCTGTGACGCATTATTCATGGCTGGACCTGTTCCCCATTCCCAAGATGCGGGATAACATACTTCGGGGTATTGAGGCGGGGATATATGATGAGGACGTTTTGTGCGAAACGCTCTGCTGCGAGCTGCTGAATCTCGAGGACGGGACGAACGCGGCTCTCGTCGTATGGGGCGAGTCTTGGGACGCCGCAGGGTGGGAGTTTAGCGCCGAGTTCTTTTCAAAATGGGGCCCGTTGTTGCATGGCTGCGATGAAGTGCTGGAATCGACAAACTACTGGAGGCGAAAGAGGGGTGCAAGATGTCTTGAATTTGTATTGAGTTAGGCAGATTGGGTATCGTCTTTCTAAGAGAGTCCGTGTAACCTTCGAAATGCCCAATTATCCAATATCCTCGACCCGTTAACCGTTGTGATGCCATCTCCACCGGCATCTAGCTGCTTGTCATGTTTTCCACAAGCCAAATCCACCAGGAACGGCCCGAAGTGTTCCGTCGGTGTATGTTGCCGCCTCAGTAGCGCCGACCTCATCATCGGCATCAGGACGGCACTCATCGCGTGGTACGTAAATCCAGGATCTGGGATGTGCGGTTTGATAGCTTCATGATTAGAAGGATCAACGCCTACAGGCCGCACAGACTCGACATTGAACTTCGACGTCCGCAGCTTTGCCAACGCCACCTCTGCCTCACCCTTCACCACGCCGTAGTAAGGTGTGAAGAGGCCTGGAGTCGCAGTTGCGCCGCCGCTTGATACGTACACGAAGCGGAACGGCTTGTCATCGGTGGACGGTATCTTCGCAAAGGCAGCGGCGGCCGCGAGGGGGAAGTCTTGTGTGATTTTGACGTATTCTCTGCGCTTGTGTCAGCTGCGGAAGATGCAAGATTAGACAGGCGCAAAGACAGTACTCTTTTGTGACTTTGGTCTGGCTGATGCCCAGCGCCCAGACCACGCCATCGGCATCGTCGACCTTGGCAAGGACGCTGGGGTCAAAGGTTGCAAAGTCTTTGTGAATGATAACGTTGGCTTTCGGATTGTTTCCTACCATGGGCACCGGTCTTCTGCTGAGGATGGAGATCTTGGTGACGTCCTTGGACTTGAGCATCGCGTCGAGGACGCTGGATCCGACGAGGCCGGTGGCCCCGGTGAGAATGAGATGCATGGTGGCATTGAGAGTGGGAATGCAAGATGTTGGAGGAGGAAAAAGCAGAACATTAATGGAAGAAAGCAGAAAATCGATGGGAGGAAGACAGAGGTACCAGGGACGGGAGGCCATGCACGTGATGGATTGGAGCTCTCATGCATGTCCATGATTTCGATAATGTAGCCCGCAGCAGGGGCGTAAGCAGTCAAAACTGAGACACGCATCCATCATGACCAATGGGGAGTGAGAGAGGCATGTTGGTTCCCTGGGTCCTGCGGTAATGCCTGCTCGACCCTGGGCCTCAGGTGGATTGCTTACTCCCCTGTCTAGCGTGGACCCGAGATGAGATCTTGGCCCCCATTCAACCTTGGAAGTCGGGACGAAGACAAAGTCCGAGGACAGTGCAGGGACTATTGAGCCTCATGGCGTGCTAGCTGCATCTTCAAACTCCGCTAGAAGTCTTGATGTCTATTCCTGTACTTATAGTGCCGGAAGTACTGGCTTTCTGCCTCGGGATAGCTCCGGCCATGTTTAAACTCCGCTCGTAGTCGTCTTGCCTCGTCATGTACTTGATGCCTTGAATGGTCAAAATTCTGTCATAGTCTGCTAGTATATAAGTCGTGGTGCCACCTTGAAAAATATAGTCGCGGGTTGTCGCTATGCTCTTCAAATCACTTCGATTTAGTTCTTGACCTCCGTCTCTCTGCATATCGTGGTCTACCACTGGTTCCAAAGACTTCTGCAACTCGACACCGCCATCATGCCTCAATTTCGCCAGGAAGATATTCCTGAACTCAAAGACCAAGTCATCATCGTCACCGGCGGAAACGCAGGCTTGGGATTCGAAACGGTAAAGCAGCTCGCATCCCGCAATGCCGCACGCATCTACCTTGCCGCCAGGTCGCAGGAGAAAGCCGAGCAAGCCATCAAGGACATCCAGACGGCAAACCCCGCCGCAAAGAATATCAGCTTCCTCAAGCTCGACCTCGCATCCCTCGAGAGCGTGAAAGTCGCCGCTTCCGCCTTCCTCTCCCAAGAAACCCGCCTCGACATCCTAATCAATAACGCAGGTATCATGATGACCGCAGAGGGCCTCACGAAAGACGGCTACGAGATCCAATTCGGAACTAACGTCGTCGGCCCCGCGCTCTTCACCCAGCTGCTCCTCCCCATCATGCGCGAGACCTCCAAACTCAACCGCGAGACACGCGTCATGATGCTCGGATCTGCATCCCACTCCATGGCGCCGAGCAACGTGTACAATTTTGCCGAGTTCCGTACCACGATGCCCGATCGTGCGACGACGCAGCGCTACACGATTTCCAAACTGGCTGATTTGCACTATGCCAAGGCGTTGGCCGAGAGGGAGCAGAGTGTCAAAATTATCCCCGTGCACCCCGGCATGGTCGCAACGAACCTCCACCACGCCTCGGCGGGGTTCTTCCTTCGGCCGTTTCTGTATGCAGCAATCGCGTTCGCCACGCCTGTCGAGAAGGGTGCTCTGTCCCAGATCTGGGCGGCTGTCAGCCCGGAAGCGAGGAGTGGGCAGTACTACGGCCCGGTTGGGAAGTCGGAGTCGGGATCTAAGGCGAGCCAGAACCGCGAGCTTCAAGAGGCGTTGTTTGCGTATATTCAGACGGAGTTGGAAGGTCATGTTGCTTCGAAAGTAGTAATTCATGGTTGACTAAGTCCAAAGGGTTCAAGATCCTGGTTTCCGTGAGGCATATATGGCATTGTCACACCCATTTCAACACCTTGCGTCCAAGATGGCGACAGAGCGTCAAATGTTGTTGGATATGCAGTTTCTCCCAGGCTCTGGCTCTCGGGAACCGTCGTGGACCCAAACATATCTAGGCCCAAGACTGCTGGCACCTGCCCTGGAAGGTCTGTTGTTGGAAGCCCCCAAGGTACTTCTGGCTGTGCGGGAAATGGTGGCGGCGGCATTGTGAACGGAATTTCGTTTCCTAACGTAAGTTCATCCGGCGGCGACAGCTGCGCAAGATACGTCTGTTCCCCCGGTGGAAATAGCCCCATCTGCAGGTCCTGGTCTGCCGTACCGCTCCTCGAGCGCTGGTTCTCGTCAGCCTCGGCGGCCCAGTTGTCGCCGAACCCGTTGTTGAAGACACCATAAACCTCGTCTTTGACGCTCATCAACTGCGTCATCGCCTCTGAGACTGGCCTCGGCTCAACAAGCGGCTGTCCGGTCTGGGCGCGCATCGCATTAATCTCGGCCACCAAACGCCGGTTCTCCGCAATCAGGTCCTGCATGTCCTCGGCGGCATCCAGGCACATGTCCCGCTGGGTACGGAAGTGCTTGATGCTCTCGTTGACGATGAGGACTTTGTTTAAGCGGCGGGCGTTGGCGAGGGACGGTACCAAGCGGGCCAGGTCCTGTTCCACATGTCAGTCACCATGCCCCAATTACATCTTGATTCTAGAAGGCGATGTTACTATGATGTTCTCCTTCATCTCACACCGTTTCCTCTTCTCGGTAGCCAGGTTGCGCGCATTTACATGCGCGGGCAGAGGGCGGACCCGTTTCCGCTTTTGGACCTTGCCGCTTGCGGTGGTGTCGTGCGGGTTCGACATTGCTCAGCGACTGTCCAGCAATTATGAGATAATTTTCTGTGCTTCGGCGCACTGCCAAGGGTCTTGAGAAAGAGGCTCAACGGGAATGCAGGCGTTGGACGGGAGTGATGCAACGCTCCTTCGTGTGCATCAGCAAGCTGGGTTGTTTCTCCGCAGTGGTGGGCGTGGCGGAATTCATGGCGGAAAGGCCCCGATAAGGAAAGTGCGGTTTGCTGGTTCGAGAAGATCCGCCCGGTTGCTTTTAGCGTTGTGATTTGGTGTTGGTGAGTCGGATAACGATGGTTGGGTTAAGTGCATTCTGCCTATCCGCTATACTGGGTCAATGCATAGTCTGATCTAGGTACTGGTTGACCAATTTGCTCGGATCATTGAATAATTCTGGTGGACCCCTGAAAGCAACCGTCCAACGGCTGACATCGCGTAAAGCCACAACACGTGGGATTGAGTTTTGTGGTCATCACCGAAAGCTCCGGCGTCTTGAGACTCAATCTCATACAAAGACGCACTCCCTCTGCGGGAGTGACTATTACTACACTCTTTTGGTGTTTTGATTCATTTGTTCAAGATGTCGGCTTATCCCAAGACGTGGCGCGACAGCGCGTATCTTGTCATCTCAGGTATCCAGTTGACTGCCATGCTCAGTAAGTCTCACCCCTGCACATGTCTCTTCTCTCGTAAGATGACCTTCACAATTCATGGATCGCTATGGAAATCACGAAAGATCTCATATCCAGTCCATTGATGTCATCTCCGAAGAGAAAGACGCGACATCCGGCATCTGATGCCTCGCATCACCTCACATGAGCCCAGACTAACTCTCTCATCAGTGGTTGACCTGGTCCCCCTCTACCCGACCTCGCTCTACGCGACGCCGTCGTCGCCGCTGCACTTCCTCCAGCTCCTGCGCGACTTCTACATCAAGACCTACAACGACCCTTTCTTTGTCATGGCGCACGATGCCCAGCCCTCGTGGTACAAGCTCTTCACCTACCTCGAGGTCTTCTACCAGTTGCCGATGACCCTGTGGATGGTTTACCGCTTCTCCCGCGGCACCGGCAGCACCCCGGGCTTTGAGCTCGCCGTGCTCGTCTTCTGCGTGGAATGCGCCTTGACGACGCTGACCTGCATCTTCGACGTCTCCTACTGGGACCCCAACGTGTACAGCGAGGCGCAGAAGAATGTCTTCATCTTCAATCTGTATGGACCTTGGGTTGTCATCCGTAAGTTGGTCCTCCTTCTAGTGTTCTTTCTCGATGCTGATAAGTGAATGAAGCCACACTGATGGGACTGGACATGTGCCTGCGCATCCTCAACCGCGCAAACTCCGCCGACAAGACCAAGAAGATCCAGTAGAACAGAAAAGGGCCTCCGGGCATTTTTGGTTACATTAGGATATCGTACATCCATGCTCGGTCAGACCGCGCGCGTAATCCAGACGAGTGATCCAAACTCCGTTTCCCCTATACGTCCATGTGTACAGTTCAGTTCCAGGCCAGAATGATTTCCCTCCCTTGCCCACCAAACAAGAAACTCCAAGCTTGTGTCGTGAAAAGGCCTTCAAAGAGCGGCGTCAAATATACGTGAATCGGACCACATCATACAACTTCTCCACCATCATCGTCCAAGGCCAGAGAAAGGCCTTAGTCCATACGCTTGGCAGCCTTGGAGTATCCCCAGCCGTTACCAACACCGTTCAGCCCATACCCCAGCGGCGTCGCGCCGCCGAGTCCCCGCCCCCTCAGCCTCTTGGGAAGGACCACGCCGAAGAAGTATGTCCCTGCGACGAGCACGCCCGCCATAAAGGAGGTGATGATGTAGAACACGGTGCTCGCGTAGACGTGCCCGCCCATGCCCTGCCACTCAACGTGCCCCTCGATCTTGGGCAGGTTCGGTGTCGGAAACCACCTCACGGACAAAGTCAACGGCAGCGGGTCGCCGATGACCAGCCTCTTCGTGTGTGTGCCGTCCATGTGGCTCAACGGGCTCGTGCTGTACGCCGTGCCGGAGTCCAGGACGCCCGAGTCGTGCGGGCGGGTGTGGTGCTTCGGCATGCTGTGGAGGAGCACGTTCATGTGCGTGCTGACGTGCAGATGGCTGAGCTGAAGGGTGCCGGCGAGCGCGAAGACGAGGGGGATGTATTCCTGCACGTGGGGCTTCTCGCCGACGGTCTCGACGTGGGGCTTGGGGCGGGCGGGCAGGCGGCAGGATAGGGGCGCGTCGTTGTGGATGTAGAACTCGAGGAGGTGGAAGAAGGGGTCGGTGATCATCGGGATCGTGCAGTTCAGCTCGCCCTCGTGGCCGTACTGGAACTCGAGAGGCTTGTTCGTCTCTTCGCAGATCGGGAAGGGGATCCATTCGATTTCGTGGTTGGAGTTTTCGACATGTTCTCCTGTTTCGCTGCCATGATTGTTAGCCAGGCCGTTCAAGTCCAACCGGCAGGCATGCCCGCGAGAGGAACTGATGGGCATCTTGCGCCCATTGGTATTGCTGAGGGCTCGGGGAAGATCGCCAAGGGAGAGTACGCACGAGCTTCGGTTCATGCACTCCACGTGGATGGGCGCGCCGTAGTGGTAGGAAGGGAGGCCATCTTCGGGGTTGGCTGCAGCTAGCCTTGACAGGCCGAGGGCGGCGCCCAGCAGAAGATGCGACAGCGAAGGCATGATGGAGATGAATCGCGAGGTTGACGTAGGGCAACCGGCAGGATTTAAGGTGTCCTAGCAAGACCGGGGCATTGCCTGACTCGGAGTGGTGGGCGCGACGGAGAGCGATCCGGGTCCAGCTTTCCCCGGAGCGAACTGGAGATCATTTAATCAAAAGGTGACAGCTGTCACTGGAGCTGCAGCTTGCGTATCTGCACGGGCTGGTGGTAGATAAGATAACGGCGGATCTGCTTATCACACGAGATCACGTGGATAGTACTCCAAGTGAGTTATGCAACTATCCAAGACAAGCTTCAAGTCTCCCAACATCAATTATTCTCGGCAACATGGATCATTTTCGGCAGTCACTCCCATGCAACCAACTTTTGCCTCAAGGCTCCTCCTCTTCAGGACGCGCTTTTTTCTGCCTCAGTGGATCTTCGACTTCCAAAGGTCAATTTCTACGGATTCTTTCGCCAGGATGACCACCGAAAACCAACCACCAAGCTCTCCTAGGGCACCGTACAGCATCACTCTGGAGGATCTGACCCCAACTACCTGGTCAGGACGCCGTCTCGCCGATATAGCCTACGGTATGAAACGGTCCGGCTTCCACCGATGGGGCTTTGTTATCTACAGGACGACATACGACGATGACAAGGCTTGGGACCGCTACCTCGAAGTGCTTCAGCTCACAAGACTCCGTACCCTTCTGCACGCAGGCGCTGACCTGCTGCTTGAGCAGTACATGGATTGTAAGAGAACTTCGCCGCTTATTTTCCGTACATGACGTTAATAACCCTAGGGCCTGTGATTTCTGATCGAGCTACCCTCGAAGGCGCGTCCAAGGCCGAGGTGCGGAAGCACTTTCAATCTTGGTGCGAGGCGCGCAGCGAGGAGCGCGACGGCCCTGGAGCCACCGGAACCAGGACTCAAGGGCTGCCACGTTTCAAGCACTGTGTCTATGTGGACCGCAAATGCCTCGAGACGCTGGCCAAGCTGCCCAACAACTACCGCGGAGCCCGGATGGAGCTGTCTAACATGGTGACTGTCATCATTGATGGCGCTTTCGACAGGAGAACGCCTGGAGATGACGAGGGTTTGTATTCTGAGATTGAGGGCTGCACGGAACGGTACGTGGGCTGGAGGTATGAAGAAGTCGAGATGCTGGTCGGCACGTACGAAGAGTCCCATCAATATCCTTTGAGTCATATTGACTACAAGCGGCCCCCTCTCATTTCGCCCTTTGGACGTAAGTCGATGCCAGCCTGAGGTACAAAAATCTCATAGCTACGGCGGCAGATTTCTGAGCACAAAGTTTGTGAAGCATTATACGTTCGCGATGACCGGTTCTACCTCTCAGTCATCGACTACAGCTATCAAATATCAGGCGGTGGTTGAATATAATGAATCTGATCTGAAAGAGCGTCCAAGATATCTTGAACCTCGGCGGCATTAGGTGGCAAATTACCATCTCGCTCGAGCTGACCGAAATTCAAGCGTATCTCTAAAATACGTTCGGCCACCCACGCTCTTGTTCTGTCAGCGCCCTCGCGGTACCAATTGCTGTCAAACTCCCGGTGAATCGCCGCGGCATCGCTCAAGGGCCTGACGAACTTGGCTATTGCTATGACCGCAGCCCGGATTTCTCGGCGATTGCGTTGAACCGTCGGCAGTGCGTCAGGGTGATTAATGTAACGGAAGACGCCGATGGACATCCGAATGCTGTCGAACATCTCTGTTTGCGCTGCCACATCTCCACTCATCATGTTGATTAACAGCGTTTCAAACCGATCATCTCCTATAATACCTGGCCGTTCTCCGACATCGCTGTCCGGGTCGTTACTACCGGATCCAGAACCGCCACCAGTATTACCGCCGTTATCCGCTTTGGGTGATGGTTGACGCAAGTTGTAGATGCGGCCCTTCATCTGGTTCATGACGCGCTCGCATAGCACAAACGGCTCCCGGTTACCCTGCGAACCAAAGCGGTCAAACAAGTAGCCATTCGGTGTCCGCAGCGTATGACTGGATCCAGCACGAGGCAAGTTCGCTGGCAAGACCTCGGCGTTCCAGTTATCCGCGAGGTCGGGGCCGTGCATAGGGCCGTTGGTAGTGGTTGAGCCGTTGGGGAGGATGCCAGTGGCCATGGTCCTAACAAAGTCACGGGTGTATTGCCCATCGGGATTGTGCTCCGTATCGACAGATTTTCTCAACTCCTGGGAACTCATTGTGGATCTGTCCAGGACCTCGATTTCTGTCGAACGGCAATCATTCTGTACCATCCTGAAAACGTTGTTGCTGGCCGGGGTGCTTCGCGTAGCTCTGTGGAGGTTGCTGGAGCCTGGAGCCCCTCTCATCTGTAACTCAAGTCTGAATTTGCGGACGATACCGTTGATAACCTGCTCCCATGCCACTATGAACGGTGGTCGCTTGCTTCCACGACGGTCAAGGCTGGGGCAGAATGCCGGTTCGCACTCGTCTTCATCAGAGTAGTCGTCCGCATAAAGTTCCTCATCGCAGTTGAATCCGGAGCCTGGGTAGTCACAAAGACTTCCACCACATGTGGGTGTGTCGAAGACATCGTCATTTGGGGTGCAGCAGAGCGCCTTCTTCCGGCCCCAGAGACAATCCACGAGACTGTCTCCTTGAGAGTTGGTCCGCACCGTCACCTCGGTGGCCGAGCATGTGTTGTCTGCGCAGTCGCCCTTGCCGACCCAATGGCAGCTTCGGAGTGGCGGTTGAGAAGACTTGCAGCAGTAGTGAGACATGTACTTGAAGAGGTTGCATGTCTGGTCGGGTGAGCTGACAGCTGTTGCAACGTCATGCTCGCCACCTTTGCAACTTTCTTCGCTGTTTGTTTGTTAGCTAGGTTCAACATCAACAGGACAACTTCTGGGAAACTTACCAACCACTCCAGTAGCACTGGTCAGTCAACTCGTCATAACTGTCCATACTGCAGCAAAAGTACTTGTAGCCTCGGCTACACTGGTTGTTGTTGCCGCCGGACTCTACCGGCCAGCCACCGTTTCCAGACTTGTACAGCGTAACCTCGCCCTCGTGGCATTGACCATTGCAGTCGCCGCCATTGCCTCTCCACATACACTTCTCCGGAGCGTCTGTTGCTTTGCAGCAGATGGGCTGACCCCAGTTGCCGCCAATACCGCTGCAGATGCTCTTGTCCCAACCGACACGCTTGTAACTCTGTCCACAGGCCTTGGAGTACCCAAGCTTGTTGATGTCGTCCTCAATATCGACGCACTTCTCGCTGCGGAAGCATGTCTGATTGAGGTTGACCATCCCGATGTCACGGCCGCCGCCATCCTGGCTGCCCTGGTCTCCGATGACTCTCTGCACGCACTTGTCAAAGGGACAATAGCCCCTTGAACAGGCAAACGCACACAAGCCATGACCGTCGTCCTTGATGGTGCCGGCCTTGAGGTCAACCGTGGGATCGAGCCAGTCGAGCTCACCCTGACTCAAACATGTGCAGGCGGCGATAGGGCAGTATCCGTGCCTGCAGGTAAAGCTACAAAGCGCGGCGAGGTCGCCAGGGCCAGTACCGGATACACAAGCCGGGGGCTGGAAGGGTGACACCATGGGCTCGATCAACGGATGCTCCGTTAGGCCACATGCCTCCTCCGGGCAGAACCCATACGAGCAGGCTGACGAACAAAGACCGGCGTAACTGGAACCTCGGCCCTCGAGCGCGAATCCGGGGGGGCCGGTTCCGTTGGGATATTCAAACTCCGTGCCTAGCGTGGTGCAGACGCAGGCACCCTTGGGGCAATACCCGTAGCTGCAGGTGAACTTGCAGAGCCGGCTGAAGTCGTTGGCACCCCATCCACCGATGCATATCTGGTTCGAAAGCGACGGCACCGTCACACTGCGTGACGCCGCCATCATCCTGCCACCCGTGGTTGGGTTGAAGTTGTGGTAGCCATCGCTGCCGCAATTCCGTCCGACGTCTGGGCCAGTCACGCTCATGATGGTTTTGCCGCCTCGGATGAGCCTGATTTCGACGCCGCCTTCTCTGCCGTCAAAAGGCACCCCGCCATGATAGATGCCAGCGCCGCCCTCTGGCTTGTTCCTCCAGGTGCTCCTGTACGCAGATCCGCCGATCACAACATGCAGCTCCGCCTCCTCCGTGAGCAGTGCCGAGAAGAAAACCTCATCTGACACTAGCTCAGAGGGCTTGTACTCCAGCTGGACCTGCGATGCGGTGTTGCCCGTAGTGCCACCATCATTGCAGTCCTTGCGGTAAACTCTGCGATACCAGAATTCGACGCCTTCCTGCGTGATGGTGGCGATATTGTGCTTGTAGAGATCGATAGTGAAAGGCAAGAGAGTCCTCCAAGCGTCGTGGGGACGGTCGAGGGCGTAGTTGTATGGGGATTTGCCTGTCTTGAAGGCAACGAGCGCGTGATCCCTAACGGGGCCGATGTGATGGGATTCGCCGTAATCGTTCCATGAGATGATCTGCACCCACTCAGGCTGCCACCAGTTGACCTGCACCCAACGGTCATACCAGGCATGGTCTCCTCGCCAGAGCCAGTTCTTGCCGAAACCTGGCATGTTGGTATAAAACCAAGGAGACACAGGCATCATATACGGCTTCCCGCCTAGGAACTCGTCATACGAGGCATCGGTGTAGGTATCCATATCATGACCACCCCAGGCCCATGAATCCCAGCTGAATAGGCCGTCTGCGACGCCTCCAGCACGTTCCATAGCTCTCTTAGCTCCATCGGAACTCCAGTCAGGTACGAAGAAGCAGCCTGTTTGAGCCTTGATATCGATCCAATCGTCCGCCTGTGCAGGGCCTTCGAAGGTTGACACGAAAGGCTTGCCCTCGTGGCGGAAGTGAGCTGGGCTGCTGCTGTACTTCTTCAACATGTCAATGACGACTTGTTTCTTCCACGGGCCATTGCCGGCGTAGTCAAAGCTGAAGAATAAATGAAAGCCGAGCTGTTCAGCCTTAGCAAAGACGGCCTTGACAGATTTGTCGTTCATTTCTTCGCCCTGTGCCATGTTGAGAGCAAAAGCATCTATGTGCGCCTCTTTCGCCTTATTGATGTCGTCCGCCCAGTCTGAGTCGGTATACTCGGCCGTGTTGCCAACCTGATGTTCGCCGAAGTTAGAAACTCGCCCCTAATTTTTGATCTGGATCACGCTATGGTCTGGGGTTCCTTCGACGTACCATGAAGTGAGCGAAAACCGCTTTGCCCCTCACTTGGAGGATCCATGAGAGCAGTGCTGTCACCAGCAAGAGTAACCTCATCTTGCCGTCAAGTTCAGCGGCTCAGTTTGCCGTGATGTGGTGCTGTAAATTTCAAGAAACACAACGAATATGGACTCCATTCAGACGGACGTTCTGGCAATGATACTCGTTTTAACCATCCATTGCTGGACTTATTCCAACAGTCCATGCAAAGAATTATCTGAGTGACCCGCCTCTCCCGCCGTGATTTCGTCGCTTCCCTTCAGAATTGCAATATCCCCTTCCAGGAGCTTTGATCCATCATAAGAGAGGTGGTGCATATTGCTGTGCCTCCCCGTTCCCTCATGCTGAAGGTTCCGGTGCATGTGCGGAATGAGTTGTGATGCATTGCAAAATCTCTTCATTTTCACTCTGATATTGGAGCTAGACAGGCAGTCTCCGGTGAGAGACATGCTGTGCCGCCGGATATGCTTGCAATTCTAAGTTAGCGTAATCCACCCAGCGTCTTCAGCGGGCCTGGGCCGTCTTGAATGCGACATTGAACCAACGACAAAAGAGAAAATGGAACACAGAACCAACACGAAGAGGTCAGAGTGAACACCCTGGCGTCGCTAGGATGCGAAATAAGGTATGGAGCTCTTGCATGTGTCCATCGGGAAGGAGACCCATAAGGCGTGGAGATTTTCTGTCCTTCTCGGCTAGATTGAGTAATGTACCCAGCCGAAAGGCCTGTCGACAGGGCGAATAAGCTTGTGGACAGGGTCGCGAGTCTGGGCCGTCTAATTCTAAAAACACCGGTGACAGGGGCGCCAGGCACCAACAGCTTTCAAGGATGGATAATCAAGGGGTCTCACGGATGAATCCGAAGCCTCCCGAGTGATGATCGCAGACGAGAGCTTCTAGCCCACTGGCATCCTCGGACACCTTCCGCATACGGAAGACGCCATTCAGGCAGGCCGCGATGTGTTAAGGAACATGCGGAAAAGAGGCACAGCAGGGAAGCGCGCGAGGCATGAAGAATTCAACAGGCGGTAATTACCAGAACCACAGCACAGCGGGAGCCGCGGCTATTTTTCAAGCAGCCCGGGTGAAGTGGTTAAACTATCACGACTCCCCTCCCTCTGGCATTTTGGTGGGCAACGCGACATGTTGATGAAGAGGCTGCCCTCTCAAGTCTGTTTTCTCAGTCCTTGCATCTGTCGTAAAAGTTGAATTTTCAACGTCCATTCTTTTGTTACGGAATTCACACTCATTTGAACACATTTACACTCATTAACAACAATGTTCAGTACCATATTCTTTCTCCTCGCTCTTTCGAGTCTAGCAGGCCGTTTTGCGTTTGCTCAGCAGTTTCCAACGATGAAGATGTCGTATGAGACGTTGAACCTCACCGGACCTTGCTTTGAGGCCCTGAACGCAACCGTCGAGTGCTCTGACCGACTGGCCAAACATGTTGCCTGGGAGTATGTCTAAATGAGTGGAGGACTTCAGTTCTTCGAAATAAAAAGACACGTCGCTAATTCTATACTTCACAGCGCCTCCAGTGTTGACCTCCTTGACCAGGATGGCCTCGCAAACGTCTGTGAGGCCACGTGCAGACAGTCGCTCGTTGACCTGCGCACGAAGGTCCTAGACTCCTGTGACGCCAGTGCCGACACCATCCAGTACAGCTATCTGAGCTTTCCGGCAACTTACATCGTTGACCGATATCTGTACTTCTACGACGTCTCCTGCTACAAAGACAAGTCCACGGGCAGCTTTTGCGATACTGTTGTGGCCGGTTGGCGCAATGAGACAGGGGGCTCCGAGGCGCATTACTGCGATGACTGCTGGCTGGGCCCCATGTCCGTCCAACTAAGATCCCCCATTGGTTTCAACGAAGACCGCGCCTCAGTGTTTGCGTCGCTGACTAGCAGCTGCTCCATTGATGCCTACGCCACACCCACCCCAACACCGTACGGAGAAGCAACCGCTACTTTTGGGGACGTCGTGACTACGGCTCAGGCCTCGACGACGGATGCCGCAACGGCCACAGCCACAGCTACGGAAGTGACCTCTGCTGAAGAGATGATGCCGTCTATCTATCCTCTGCTGGAAGTAGGCACCGCCGCTAGTGCCGACGCCCAAGAAGGCAAGGAGAACACTAGGAAGCAGCGGAGAAACCGTTCGAAGAAGGCCTCGGCGCAAAGTTTGGCTCGACAGGTCAACCCCCGTGCTCCAGGTACTTCTGAAGATTGTCCCAAGTACCAGAGCTTTTTGCCCTTTGAGCTCACTTACAAGAAGGCCGACCGGAACAAGGAATTCCTGGATGATTTCGGTATCAACGGCTGCGGGTACACAGCGACCAAGCACGGTATCACTCGTGAGTGACCCAAGAAAATCTTGTATTCAATCGAGATGATTGGAAGATGGCGCTAACTATAGGTTCCCAAGTCAAAAACTTCTTAGCCTGGAACCCAAGTCTTTCCAAGTTGAAAGACTGCAAGCTCCAGCGCGGTTACAGCTACTGTGTCCGGCGCCCATCCTCAATTCCTAAGACTCACATCCGTAAGCAAAAGCTTTTCTTGCCGTGCCGTCTTACATCTTGTGTTTCCTTCTTTCCTCTTTCTTTTGATTTCTCGTTTCCCCGTCACCAGTAGCGAAGTTCCGCGGAGGATCTGTCATGCTGACCTTAAAGTTGACCCCGCCGCCTCGAATGCAACAATGACAAACTCCACCGTAGCGGGTGCGAATCTGACCATGGATTCGTCCCAAAATATCAAAAGGGTTCGGGTTTCATGGGCTTGGACTCAAGAGTCCTAGGTCACATTATGGAGACACCGCAGACACACAAGAACACCACATGTGTTATAAACAAGTTATTTGCAGTCCACTTCTATTCTCAAGACTGAGGGGTGATAATACCGATATTTGGGTACTGTTCGATGTGTACGGCATTTATTTTGAACAAGACAGGCTACCAAACTACGCCCGTTCTACGCCTCACAAGAGCATATTGCTAGACTAGGTTTGGAAATGGTGTTGATCATAGTTATGATACGCGCTGTGATTACTTCGACTTCAAAATTTCAACCTTTCTCTGTATTCTCCCATTGAACTGCTTTTGCAACGGGTTTGCCATTGACTGCCGACTACAAGGCACCAAAGCGATATCCATAGACCCTCTTTACCTTCTATGGAGCAACTACGTCTATGACAGGCGAAAAGTCCATCGCTGAAGCCTTAACAAGTCCCTGTGTTTGGGTCGGCTCTAGTGTCGATTTAAAACGTCAACAAGTGTGCATGTAGCTGTTGCCCAATTTCCTGGCTCACCTAAACCGCCAGCCGGCGTTATCAGACTGCCCGCCACTCTCACAGCCGATGATTTCTCTGGCGAGTCCATTGGCACAGTCGTCGTCGTTGAGGTCAAAGCCGGCACCTTCGTTGAGATTGGTGATCTGGAATTCCCATTTCTGATCGCCGTACTGATAACAGAGATTCTTTGTCTCTCCGGATGCGAACCATCCTTGGAAAGCTCCTTTGTTGCCGTCATGGCCTCTACAAGCTCTTCCAGTGTGATAAACTGCATCACCCTGGTTGGCCCATTTCTCTCCGTGGGTGTAGCAACCAGCTGAAACGTATGCGACGTTGGTGCATAGCATGACAAGGCTGGCAAGGCAGGAGGAGAGCTTCATGGCGTCAATTTGAGAGGGAGAGGAATTCGCACGTTTTGAGCCCAACAGAGTTTGTATGGCCTTTAATCAAACCTAATAGGATGCCAGTGGAAGAACGAGGAGGTTGGGCTCCAGGAGAGAGACATCGTCAGTTATATACACAGATTTCAGTCTGGCTACACCAGGGAGTCGATGGGCCCTCATAACCCTGCCACCAATCACCAGTCTATGACATCGCCAGTGGAAGACATTCTGACAGGCTATCGGACGCGATGACCTCATCGCTCTGGATTCAAAAGCTATTGCAGAGTTGTTGAGGCTAGCCAGCAACACAACGGTTCCTACGATCCTAGAGGATTGTGACACAACCAACCAAATGAATTGCCGAAGACCTGAGTGATACAAGGTCATGAATGCTTGTAGGGTCTTGGTAACGCGATACTTGGCCTTGTGAAATAAAGAGCTGATGGAAGCTTGTGACATGAACAATATGCACTCAGCCCCACGCGTCAGAACCCTGGGCTAGTATGTGTAGACCTGGTGTTTTTTTCAGACGAACAATTGCGGACATGAATTATGACAAATTCGATAGCAACAATCAAAACTCGCCAATTTAGTATCCGCTGGGGCCCTCTCGTCTCTCATTCCAATTTATAACGTTGAGATGTACAATCTCGATTTCCCGATGCGTGCCATCTGTCATCAGCGCACGCAGCACCGCGCAGTGAGACGTTTTGATCGGCAGGATTTGTCCTCCCCAATCGGCTTATGTGACACGACATGATTGGCGGCAAGCTCGTTTATCCTCGCTGGATTTCAATGCTGTGTGATTATTACAGGAGGGCGAAGTAAGTGGCTGCAGCCTGCATCAGAAGAGCACTGTGGCGGTGCCAGTGACCCGATTACACTTGAACCTGCAGGTTCATAACTCGTCATGTTGCAATCAAATTCTGGACCATTAGTGCCGCTTTAGGTCTTTTTAACTGTTTGCATTACTTGGCGGACGAGCTTTGGCTTGTCTCACAACACAACAGCCAAAAGGCCCGGCAGCCCAAGGCAGACACAATGATCCAGTAAGCCATTAGGCTGAACCTGTCAGCCTCTCAAAATTGAAAAGGAGTAAGATACTTTTGTTCTCATAATCGCCAAATTTGGTTTAAATATTGTTGATTCGTGTCAATTGCATATCGATTTCGAAGTACGGCAACTGCAATCACCACTGGATTTTCAACCACATGATGGGTTCCTCTTCAGCTATGGATTCCCAAGGCCTTAGTTATGATCAATGGTTCGGAAAGCCATTTGTGAGTCAATTGGACCTAGGAACGAAGCTTTCCAGACAGGGACCGACGGAGGATGCAATTAAATGGGATATTACGACCTGCAACAACGTGGGTATGGACTCTTGGGATGCTTCGACTGTTATGGACGACATGTCGTCGCTCGCCTCGCAACCTTCACTCCCTTTCCTTCCGGTCGACGACTCACGGTGTGCACGAGTTCGAGCCAAGAGTCAGAAGGAATGGGATGCACATAAAACAGCTATTCGGCGTCTTTATCTGGTGGACAACCTCCCACTGAAGGAGATTGTGGGCATTATGACAGCAACACATTCTTTTCCAGCTACGTCAGTACTTCCAGGCCAACTTATGCGCTGTCATGGAAACTAAATCTCTCACATTGACAGCAGGGAAAGAATGTATAAACGACAATTCGTCAAGTGGAACTGGAGAAAATACAATTCAAAGGGACTTCGTCAAAGTCGTCAAGACGGACAGGCCGTTGAGATGCCCACCGGGAACGCGACATGCATAAGACCACCTCGACAACGACTAGTTAAGAACATCATGCACACACATTCCATCACCACCAAGCATTCAAAGCTCTCGACTCCACTCCTTCACGCATCACAGAACCTCACACTTACAGAGGAGGCTTTTGCTAGCCTTCGAGACATGATTCGCGGAATTTCTTGTCAGGATCCCGAACGGGACAAAGCTGATAGACTTGCTCTGCTACCCAAAAGTGCCGATCATCTTTTCAGACAGTTTGTTGTCGCCTCAGACCTCTTGACGACAGAAAGCTTTTCCAAGGGTGGCGAGATTCTTCGCCAGGCCTTCCGAGACCTTGAAGATTCCATTCTCCATCCATCCATCAGGATCTACCAAACTCTCCTACTCGAGGTTCCGTACTGTCTCAGGTCTCAGATACTTAACAGGGAACTGAAGTCGTATCTGCTGCATGTTTCTCGGCTCTTAAGCATCATGAAAGGCGATGAGCCTCTTACGCGTATAAGTCTCATGATGCAGCAACTCAGCGTCCAAAGTGCGATGGACATCCAGCAATTCATCAAGACAATGTACGGCATAGTCACTGATTGTTATACGGAAATGAGGGGAAAGGATGACTTTAACACCCTGAAAGCAAGAGTTGAGACATTGAGCTTAGACGCCTCCGGTAGAAACGAGACCACCTGCGATAGTATCATGCTCAGCGTTGAAAGGCTATTATATGAGTCCGCCTTCAAGCTTGGGAGACAATCAAACGAAGCGATGGAGATCGAATTCTATCTTATATTCACAAACCATCAACTTCAGCCGCTCTCCGAGAAGTTTCGGAGTTCGTGTCAACGCTTCATTAGTCACTTGAGGGGGTCGCAAGACCAATACTTCCGTAACTGGAGTTGTCGCAAGCTGCAGCTCTACGGTGTGGCACATTGGTACTTGTGCCAATACTTCAGTCGCATGGACGATCTTGAGTCAAGCATATCCTGCTTGAGAAAGTCTATCAACGCCACCAATCAGGCAATGCATCTGGCAGAGACCGATACTAATAGGAGAATCCTGGAAAGTAACATCCTGCAAGACCGTCTTTTTTTGGAACAGCTTCTTGCAACCTCAGCCCTTGTCGCAGAAACTACAGAAGCCCTAGGCACTCCCTCGAATCTGGGATGTTCCACAGGTATTCCCTGTAATATTAACTACTTAGCCTTAGAAAGAATTGGATGTTCGAAAATAGGATTGATAATGTCATAATCATATAGGGTGGAAGCTGTCAGAAAGCTCCAGGAGGGCATTTAATGTCTTTTGTTTTCTACGTAATATATGCATAATGCGTCCTCACCTGCGTCTCACGTTAGGAATACATAAGAGGCTTAATAAGTAGTGGCTGACTTAACCAGCCAATATAGCGGAGTTTCTCTAGTGCTTTATTACATAGGTATATTAAGATTAGCTGATTATAAGCCTTCAGAAAGCAGTATCCTTTCCATTAGTAGTACTAAGCGCTATATACACATCAAAAGGGGGAGGGACAACAGGAAAATTAGAAAACCGCAAAGTCAAGGTAGCAATAACTGCTGTATGATCCAATGCTCAAGGTCTTAAAAGAAGGTTTCTATTAGTATTAAACATACTCTCGATGTCTTAAGTTTATAGTTATAACGCAGCCCCCCCGTAAAAAGACTACAGCAAAATTCACCCTATACGTAGGCATAATTCTAGAAATACTATATAAGTACCTTAACCTATACCCTCTACTAATTAAAGAAAACAGTATAGAAACCCTATATATTCTTATTAGTAAGTAAACCCTTATATAAAGTTAAACGTATATTTTAGCTAAATAGATTAGTAGAATAGTAATAGCGCTAGCTATATAGCGTAAAGCTAGTAGCGCTATATATAGTAAAGCTAATTATATTAAAGCTAAAAGGGTTACTAAGGCTCTTATAGCGATAGCTTTACTAAACCTTCTAGTGAGGTGCTATAAATACTACTATAAAAGAGATAACTCTTTAACTAAAGAGGTTATAATACTACTAAATAGAGATAACTCCTTAACTAAAGAGGTTATTATAAGAGGTTCTTATAGCTAGAAGTATAAAAAGCTCTACTATATATAAAGCTTATATCCTTCCCTCTTCCTCTTCCTTACTCTTAAACCTATATTAATAACCTATCCTTATAACCTATAATAGATCCTAAAATATCTTTATAATATCTATACTATATAAAGAATATAAGAATACTAACCTTACGCTAAGTATACCCTTCTTTAAAAAAATAGCTAAAACTATTACTATATAGTATAATATTTATATACTAAATAAAGTTTTTAAGTTTAATAAGTACTCTAACTCTAAATAAGAGTAGTTTATTATAATAGTATTAGATAGAGTTTTTAAGAATACTTCTAAAAAAGACCCTCTCTATATTATAATTAAAGTAATAAATACCTCTAATAGCTTTAAAGTAGAGGCTATATATATCTCTAGCTATCCTAAAGAGTAAGCTTTCTTTATATAAACCCTCTATAATACTAAAATAGATATAGCTTAGGCCTAAGTATAAGTTTAGTAGAGGAATATTAGTAAGTATATTTTATACTAAATAGAGAGAGTATTACTAATAATAGTATAGCTATAAAGGCGTTAGCTAGCCTAATTAAATAAGAAGATAATAATAGTAATAACTTACTTCTAAAGAAGCTATTATAATAGATAGTAAAGTAGTAATAAAAATAATATTAATAGTATAAGTAATATATAAAAGAGAGGATAGGTTAATAGTTTAGTAGTTAGTAATTAAGTAATTAAGTAATTATAAACTATATTATTACTAAAGTAAAGTTAAAAATAGTGAAGTTATATATATATATAAGTACGGCTAAGATTAGGAGAAGTAGTTAGAGACTTAGGAGGTTATTAGGGATTATATAACTAAAGGCTGTGTGTATTATCAGGAGGCGCAGAGTTAGGAGGTCTGTCGCTCTAAGCAGGTAAAAATCACAGTGAACAGCCAGAGGCCACTCTCAATATCTTGCTGTAGGGAAAGTAGGTGCCACGGGCTAGAGGTTCATATTTCCCACGAGAGCCCCCTCTACTTCGTGGTTCTTGAAGCTTTGGAGGGTATTACGCCTGCCACTCTGTCGTGTAGTCTTTCCGTGACAAGTCTTGCCTTGACTGTCCGGCTGAGACAACGTCGACTGCGACCGCCTGGTCTGGTATTTGAACCACTCCCACTTCATGAATCGTCTCTTGTACATCCTCTGACTTCGGAATCGTTAGGTCTCGCGGGAATATTTGATGTGGTACTCGCGTTACTCACCTTGCGCAGAAGAGATATCTTCCCGTCATCTCCTCCATCACCATCTTGAGATTCATGTTGTCTAACATGTAGAGCTTGTATAAATCATGTTTTCTGCTCTCCCAGTCTTTGTCACTCGGCCTGGGTGTCGAGTTCTGACGGCTTATCATTGTTGGTTGTGATGGAATGTCATCATGTCGGTAGAATCTGTGTCTGCAAGCTGCGGGCTGTTCCTCCGCAGGATTGAGTACCGATGCCAACTCCATGTTCGATGTCTTGTTGATACCGAATGAAACCTTTATCCAGTATCAAGCAGTAGCTCCTAGAGAGTGACTAATAGGTAAAATGACGAAGTTCAAGTAAGTGACCTTCCACATGTCGAGGGAATTTATGGAATACGAAATGTTCGTAAAGGTTGCAGAAGCGGCGTTGGATAACAACCTTATATACGGCTTAAAAATGGGTACTCGAGGGAACTGTTCTTAAGGGTCACCTATCAGCCTCACCGAGAGCGAGGTAGAATGGAAGGAATGCCGTGCAATCCATTGGTCGATTGGCTATGCAGGCGTCCCATGCTCATTGGGTCGCAAAGCCTCAGCCCCAACAGTCACTTCTGGCATGGCTAATAGTCATACGTCTCCTTGCATTCGCATGACTTGCCACCCTTTGTGATGTCTTATTGGTGCTAACACCTCATCGCCCCCAAGCTCCCACCTGCCCGGGCCTTTTTCACGCGATGCGAATTGGCTTAGCAAGGCTTTCACCTCAATTTGACAAATGGAAAAATGCCTAAGCCAGGGCTTGGTCTTGGGACACATAAAACACGGCAATATCATGCACTCCAGCCATTGTTCTCTCTATTGAATCATACGGGGTGTGGACAATTCAATTGATCAAATGAGGCTTACCCACAGAGACGAAGAGTTGTTAGTGCTGTGAGGTTCCCGCCATCTACCACCCCTTCGGGTTCCGGGCTCTTTGACGATCACAATGGTGTTTCTCTTATGAGGCAGACTAAATGAGGAAAGGTACTTGTCATCGTACATATCTACATGTAATTTTCATTCGCGCCAACACTACCATCTCGATGTCTTCTAAATCAAGCGCCTTCCTCAGTACCTAGATCCGATGCTTCAGGACCAGCCATTCCGACCGCAGACATCAATCGAGATATGACAAACTAGGTGCTATCCTCCATATCTCTCTTTGGCCGCCTGCAGATATCCACTGGAGCAAAGCTCATGTTCCAAATCTCTCGCTATCTCTACCTCTCCAAGATCCATCCAGTGCTGAACCAGCTGATTTCTATACTGACATACTCTAGGAGTCAAGAACGACGTTAAATCTACATCCCCACCCAAAATAGCTACATCAAAAAGTGTCACACAGGAGCCGAGCTCACGAAGACCTGCTTCATGATGTCCTTCGTCGATATAGAATCTGGACAGCTCGTAATGGACCTCACCAAGCTTCCAGAGAAGCCAGGGACTCCATTCTGTCAGTGAGGTTCGTCCCTCAGCCGCTGAAAAGACCTGCTGGAGATATTTATGACAGCGGGCTATAAATTCTGCAGAGTCTACGGTTCTGAGCCGCCTAGACGCCTCAATTCTCCATACCTTCATCGAAATTGTAGTCTCAGAAACTTCTCCATGCTCTTCAATAGCCTCCTCAAGCAGGGCTTCAAAGCTTGCAAGCACCCCATTGCAATCGGATTGGCTTTGACCGTTAGCTCCGTTGAATAGCACGGCCTCCATCCGCCGTTCAATGCTGTTGAAGTTGACAGCGTGGTGGATTGCATCATATCGATCCGCTGCGATGTAATGAAGTCGTTCGATACTCTCAAGAACCTTGTCGTCGTCTTCTTTGGTGATGTGCTGCATCAGTAGGGCCATTTGCGTAATTGGATGGCATCGTTTCTCGGGAGTATCCAGTATGCCGTACAGATGACTCAAATAACACTGAAGGATGCGGTGCTGCTGGTAATCAAGGAGGACAAATGGTATGTCGATGAAAAGCTGTCCATAAATAAAGATGTCTTCCTCCTGAGCGACTTGGCCAATGTAAGCAAACGCTTTCTTCAGAACGGCGGAGCCTGTTTCTGTATGATCAGTCGCGAAAAGCTCGGATGCCAGGGCTATCTGAGAGCACAAGTCCTGGCCAAATGCCGGAAGGCATTCAAATCGGGAAACTTGACCCCAAATATGATTCTTCCTAGCGGAAGCGTCGATGATCTGGCTCAAGTGACCGAAGAGCATTTCGATCCGTCGAAGGTTGTCGCTCGCATACCAGAATCTGCTGGCGAGTGCCGGTATCTCGTGGGAAAGTCTCGGGGAAGCGGACGAATTTCGGCTGCTACCACCGCTACCTAGAAGTCTCATGTTTCGTCGACGCCTCTTGGTCGTTCCTTGAGCCATTTCAACCTTCTCGCCATTTCTGAGCTTTTGTCGGATTCTTTTCGTAGTATTCTTGAACCAACCCCACCTTCTAAAACAAGACTTATACATCTTTTGCCTGTGACATCAAGTATAAGCTAGTGGCCAACGCGCACTGAAAGATTCGTGAACTTGCGTTGGAAAAAACTGCCGTTGCCCAAATATTTCCATGATCTCTCTCAGAGGAAGATTTTCGGTCATGTACAGCCTATGAAGCTCATCTTTCCGGGCTCTCCATTCTTCTTCTGTTACTTGATGTGATGATGAGTGGTCTTCGCTGCCCTCGGATGATACAGAAAACGGACTACTGGCTGAAATATTCGTCGACGGTAGAGTCAGGTGCTGGTGTGGGAAGACTACCGCTCCTACGGACTGAGATGACTCAGAGGTCTTCGGGGAAACGACGAGGCTGCAATCCTCTTCAGCTTGGAGGGGAGAGTTGGCCGATGCCAGAGGAAGGGCAATATGGCTTTCGGCGTCGTGAATGGCGACTGAAGGGATCTGTGCGTGACTCGCAACACCAATTTCCGCCGATAAATTGCTACCATCAATGGCCGGATGTTCCATTAAACTTTCGATCCTGGGGGCGTTATATTGTGTCCAATTGTCTTGCAATACTAATGAAAGCATATAGGGGGGAGGATCGTCGAAGTCTACAAGGTCATCAACAGAATCTCCCATAGACCCCATGATTTTTGATGGGAAGTATACGAGGGATAAGGACAAATAAATGCCTGCGATTGAAAAGAAGAGATTTTTGAGGGCCGTAGCACTGAGGGAAACAGACAAGCAAGACGAGACACAAGAACTCAGGCAGACACGCTCAAGCCATATATGCTGGCGCCTTCAAAAGAAGGCAAGGCGACGATCCCAGTAGTTCACACCGCATCTTTCGATCTTACCCCAGCATCTCAGGGGACTTTTACCTGCAAGATTGTGCAGCCGGCTGACAGTTATCCGCATTCCGATCCGACTGTGACCTTGCTTACGGATAAAAGTCCCGTCAATGTTTTTCGTGGGGGCGCAGCTGAGTGAGGCTGTTGGCGGCATCTGTCTGCCCCTAGTCCCGCCAGCAGAAGTAGGCGTTGGGCCGCATATAAGGAATTTGAGGTGCAATATGTTCAGCGCGGGCGCAAGCCGGGGATGCTTCGCCCTGACATCCAACCAGCCTGCCTAACATGTTAGCTGCAGGAAAAGTGCTCCAGGTTCTTTTATTTGAACCAGTGAGACCTGTCTTCCTTCTTGGCGTCAATCAACACTTTTATTGGCAAATTCAGATTAAGGCGTCTAGGCAGCAAGGACTAGGCGCCCGAAGTGAAGCGGTCCAACGATTCAGACTGCACACACCACAACACAGTTGCTCCCTGAGCACCCACTTTCCTATAGACTCTTGACCAACTGTTCCACGTCATCCAGAAGAAAGTGCTGAAAGTTTCTCGGTTTGCAGCCAGAGTCCGCTGAAATATCATGCGTTTAAGGCAACTGGGTCGCATGCAGCGGCTGCCATTAGCAGTTGACTACATCTGCGGGGCTCTATTGGTGTGGTGTCCCATTCAATTGATGAGAGTAATCTCCATAGCACCGAAGATGCTCTATGAATGTGATTGATTAGCCGCAAAATCTTCCCCTTGCAATCTTCAACACGTCTATTTCCAGGTTTTGTGCAGCAATCCGTTGCTGTCGGCTTTTTACTATTCGTCGAGTAAGCCACTTGACTATCTGAGTTTGCTTTTGTACTCCTCTCGTCGTCTGTGCTTCCATGGGAAGAAGTCTTGAGTTATGTGGTTGCATCGAGAATGGACCGCGGATCTTATGCCTTCAGATCGGATGCTTGGATGGACTATGACCCAAGAAATTGACATTCTCCTTCAACTCTGACGTGTCTTCTGGCTCAACAGGCATCAAACGAAGGACAGCCAGACACTGTGACTTGCAATTGCTCCCTGCGATCTTAAGATGGTTTGGATGAATTCAATGAAGAGTAATGATACGATAGCCTGATGACCTAGCACAAGTCGCTAGCAAACTAAAAGTTCAGCGAAGTTCTCCCCCAGGTCATTTTGTACAACCTCTTCCAAATACTCAGACGCGGCGATAATCGCTTTAACCCCATCAGCTTCATCGACTTGCCCCATAACAGACAAGCAGTCAACAAGCTCCAGTTGATTCTGTAGCAGCTGGCAAGCGGTGCTTGTTTTCCAATCATGGTCAACTGCCCTTGACACTGCGTATTCTGCTGCCAAAATGGAGTCTTTCAGATGCAATATACCACGTTGCATGTCTCCTGACTCGACAAAGACCTTGTAAAGGTTGTATTGGACGCTTTCATAGCGATCCAACGAAAGTAGACTCCAGTCACATAGCCGACGATCGTCATTACTTGCAATGAGTCGAAATATATGATCCTCGCAGAGCCTGACGATGTCGTCAGATGGCGCATCGAGGCTAGTGGCCGCATCGATTTGCCAGTGTTCCACAAAGATCGCTTCTACCGAACATGTTCCAAACTGGCTGATAGTATCGTTCAATAGCTCACGAAAACATTTGATGATATGATTGCATTCCTGTGACTTGTCTTCCCCTTCGCTCAATATGAGGGCGTCCATTCTTGCTTCGAGGCTTTCCATGTCTGTCTCGCCACGAATCTTTCGGTAGTAATCAGCAGTTATATCGTGCATTCGATATATGCTCGGTAGGAGGTGGCATGCAGCTTCTGTAGCTAAAAGATGGGTCGCTGCGGCCATACGAGCGATAGGTTCCCCATATCTTTTGAGGTTGAATAGTTGGTGAAGATGGTACAGGTAGACTTTGAGAAGTTCCTCTGTTGGAAGGCGAAAGGGAATGTTGAAGAATAAGGCCTGATAGAAATTTATGGGCTCGTCTCGAATGACCTCTTCAAGCATGCAGAAACATTGTCGGAATGTTGCCCCTGCCCGTGCGGAGTCCCCGGACATGTAAAGACTATCCGCCATTCTGAAAAGATTAAATAAGCGGTCGCCGGCTGTCTCGTGTGACGAAAGCTTCCTTCGTTCGGACCAGCTAGGGTCGCGACTTGTAGTTCCCAATATGAGATCGCGTAAGCTGACAAACAAATCATATTGTACTTGATTTTCTGTGCTGGCGTGGTTCAGTGATAGGACGGACAAGCATGATCTCCGTTCAAAACACTGTGAACACAGACATTCGGCCGTAGGACTTGGTTTGACGTCTCGGCGAGGCGGCCTGCGACATGTTTGAATTCCTGGGGGTCTTTCCACAGCTTGCTGATCCTGGGATTTTTTCGTGTTGTATTTCTTCCAGCGCCACTTCACGAACTGTCTTTTATACATTCGTTCACTTCAACGACCTCGCTGTTAGTGATTCCTTCACCAAGGTAGCTGTCAGCAACTTACGTGGCACAGAAAGAGTAAGTGCGAGCCATAATGACCTTGATTTGCTTCAGTGGCAAGTTTTGGGTCAAGTAGAGTGCGCGGATGACCTCTTTCCTACACTCCCATTGTGTTTGAGAGACTGTAGAAATGGATTCGGTCTCCACATGCGTCAGGTTTAAGGGTGCTTCCATGCCGTGATTCGGTCTTGATGTTAGAGAATGCTTCATGTTGTTGGATATCGGGTCTGAGGAAGAAAAGCCGGGTGGTCCAACTACGTCGTTGACGACCATTGGAATTCCAAGTGAAGACGCAAATCCCGGAAGCCCAAGCATGTAGCATGGAAGCGACCGGTCCTCCCGTCCGTCGCCATGACGTTCCGATGTGTATGAAGCGGTTGGTAGGAGTCGTGAATCCATGTTGATCTATGTGCTACCCGCTGCTGTGAAGTAATCAGCTGATGGAAACCACGCGTGTTTGAGGCAGAGAAGTATGAGCTTAGCACAAATACTCCATCGCAAGATCCAACTTTTGAAGGTGAAAGCAGCCTCTTATGATCGTTGCTTGAGGGAAAATGTACCTCATGATCGACATTGGCTGATGGGCTGCAATTGAGCCAGTCGGCATCAGGCTACCCACGCTAGCAGTGGAACAACATCTGCTAATGCAGGCCCTTACATGCAGCCGCCCAATCTGAACTCGAACATCATCTGCAAGGTCTTTCAAGCTTCTTTCCATTGCTGATTGGTCATGGGCTTTGAGTGGTGAGATCAGAGGTACCGCTGTCAGACGCAGAAGGTAACTGAGCCGCTGCTCACCCATCTTTCGCATCCTGGAGGCCAGTCTACAATTATGACATCAATTAGCGTTGAACAATGAAAATAGTCCTTGTCGTACTCATGCTTTCGCATGGATAAGCTATCTTATGACAGCTTTTTTCAAGGCCCAACATTTGCGCGACCACTCAGTCTACGAGCACCGCGCGATTAGGGCTCTTTTGATTTCAGTACAAGGAACAGCTAAGAGCGAGGCTTTTTACTGTCAATACCCAGTTGATCCGCCTGCGGTTTGCTCAGCCGGAGCGATCAGGGAATAAACCCTACTGTGCTGAGAAACGAGCTGACCTGCACTCACCAACATTAGAAGATAAAATAGAAATCTTCGAGAATACATGTGGTCTGCGATTGGAGCAAGATTGTAGTTCCTCCGATCACGTGACAATGGGGCCGTGGGCGTCGTTGGGGTCGAAGGGCCAACGCAGGCGTAGTTGCAATGGCGCGTGTTTTTGCACCGTCCAACGGGACCAACGGGGACGCCAAGCAGATGTGATCTGCCACGCACTAACTCGACCCCAACCAAATGGAACTTGGCACCTGCCTCTTATTCCACATGCAGATCCGTCAATAAGTAGGAGATATCTCAGGCTATGTTGGGCCAGCTGAACTTGCAGATTGGGGTGCAGTAGACATCAGCTCCCCATGCGGCTATCAGTAAATAGAACTTTGCTCATGTAGGCGCCCATCCGCGTCTGCTTGTTTTGGAGGCTATAAACTGTTTTCAGAAGCATAAATCGACACCATTCTGAAAATAAGAATCAATCGAGAGCCACCACACTTTAGCACGTCATGGAGCTTAAGACCCTATCCTCACAATGAAGTCACTCTCAATCATCTCTTTCATTTCTTCTCTTGTCTTTGTTGCAAGTGCCAGCCCTGTAGACATCCCCCCAGTCAAAAATATAGGGGTTTGGCAGTACGACTGCAATGCGACATTTGTTTCTGTCATGCCCTGGAATGTCTTTCGAGTCGTCGCTCAGAACTTCTGCGAAGAGGCCGACAAAGGTCCTGATGGATTTGAGGTGACTCTTGATAGTCAGGGCAATAGAAAGCTGGAAGTGGACGAGAGGACTCCGCCGCCAAACCTGGGTGCATACTTTGACTATCAGGTCATGCTGAGGAAGAACGGATCGTCGAAAGCAGAGAGCGAGGGCTGTACTCAGGCGTATAAACTCCTCCAAACGTCAGAATGTGAGTAACCGCAGAACATCTATGTGGAAACTTTGACTAATACGCCCTCGGCTCACAGGCGGACACGCAGATGGGCAGTCAAACAATATGCTAGCTGCGGGATGGGCCTCGGCTGGGACCGTCACCTACACATACAGGATTGGCAAGAAGTATTCATGTTGATACTGGAAAGAGCCACCACTGCCAAGCGTAGAAGAAGATCGACTTGCAGGAGACTGGGCCAGTTTTATTTTTTGGCATGGTGCCAAAGGCGCTCAAAGCTTTTGTGGTAATTCTTACAATCCCAGCAGTCTGCAGGCTCGTTGGAGATTGTGGGTTATGGTTGTGGGCTATGGATGGTTGTAGGTGCCAAACTGAGGTGCAGAGAACGGCGAGATTGATTCAGTATGAAACGTTTTGATCCAACCAAACTTGAGAATTGACAATATTATCTATCTATATATCCCGGAATGACTGCATCATGCAACCTTTTTCATTTGCACCTCTGCCTTCTGAGCAGCGAATTTGATTATTATTCTGATAGCAAGCACTTCTTTCATGGCCGTCTTCGGAACACCAACGGACACCCGTCCTGCTCGTTTGTTAGTAAGTGGAATAGTCAGGCAAGTATCATGATGCATTCTGGTTGGTGCTTACCATTGGGAACAGTGTCGCGAATACCCTAATCTCCTCCGATCTCTCCGTAGCATGATGCTCCCAGTCCAGTTCCAGTGCAGCCTTGCCAATCATGCCTGCCATGGAGAGCGGGACATATCTTCGCGCAAGGCAATCGTGAGCTCCGGAGCCAAAAACAAGCCAGTTCTTGGTTTTGGACTCTGCGTCTCCAGTGATCCATCGGTCGGGGTCAAAGTGGTCCGGTCTGGGGTAAATCTCTGGATCATGCAGGGCTGGGTAGCATGACGGGATGATCATGGCACCTTTTGGGACAGTGTAGTTCGGCGTGACGGGGAAGTCCTGGGTCGCAAGGTAAGGAACGAAGATGACTGGTGGCCTGTGACGGAGAAGTTCCTTAATGACCGCATTGGTATATGTCAGCGACTCCAACATAGGAAGGTCGAAAGGCTTGTTCCTGTCGCCATTCCGTGCAGCCAGGTTCTCCTCCCGCAGACGATTGAGCACGTCGGGGCGTTGGGCGAGAATCTGGAACAGCCACGTCGTCGCACTGCTCGATGCATCCTGGGACGCAAAGAGGAAAGTGAAGAGCGTCTCGCCAATCTCTTCATTGGTGAACTCGCGAATGACGTTCGGCGGCTTCTCAACGTTGGTCTCACCAGCAGCGAGCCTCTCGCGGTATCGCTCAGACTCCATCATGTGCAGCACCCTATGGTCGACGACTCACTTGGGCTCTGCTCCCGTCGCCATGTTGGCTTTGCAAGCGGCCGCGCACTTGGCGAATTCGACGTGGACGGCATCCGCGACGCGTTTCCCACGCCAGACCTTGGAAAAGGGGATATACATCGAGAGAGGGATGTTGACCAGTTCGAGTGCGGCAGTTGCGAGGTAGAAGTCGTCGGCAATCTTCTTGACAGCGTCTTGGGAGATGTAGTCGCCGAAGAAGGTACGACATGAGAGTGCGCAATTGATCTCGCGGAAAAGAGTCATAAACTCCATCGGGCGGCCACCATTCGCCGCGCTGTCTGCGACAAACTTGTCAAAGTAGTCGGCAAGTACCTTTTCTTGAATCGGGAGATAGGTTGACATGGCCTTGTTGGTGAACAGCGGAGCCAGTCCTCTTCGATACTCTGCGTGGTCTTTGCCTTGAAGAAAAACCCAGGCTTTGTGACCGATGATATCTTTGGCAACAGGCACTAGGCATGGCTCGACGTACTTAGGAGACTTGAATACCTTGTGGGCAATGTCGCGATCGGATGCAAGAACGACGAATCTGTAGGAAAACGTGTTAGCATGTGGATGAAGGATGAAGTTCAAATCATACTTGTGGAAAACAGAGACACAGCTCAGGGGTCCGCTGGCCCATTGGGCGAGATACTCGTCAAACTTGGGATGGATGGCCTGGAGGAAGGGGCCCATAATCGGGATCTTGAAGGTTGGTCCGGCGATAGAGCCTTTTCGCTTGAGATACATGACTGGAAGACGTTAACTAATGCCTTACGGCACCAGGGTGAACAAATTACATACCTTGGTCGTAGACAACTGCACCGAGAAGAATAGTCACAACATATTGCCAGGTTGACCATCCAGCAAGAAAGTCAGGTAGGGAAGTCTGGAACTGCGAAGTACTCGAGTGCCATGTTTGATTCAGCTCTGGTTGAGACGCCGAGCTTCTTAAAACTTCAGCAGCCATAGCGAGTGCGTGTGCAATTTTCGAGTTGAAGAGCTTGTTTCGTTGAAGACAGAAAGACTATGGCAATCGTTTCTGTCTTATACAAACATCAGATAGCCACCCAGCTGACTTGGCTAGCGGAAGCTGGCGTCTGGCGATTCGTATGATCAAGCCATTGAGCAGTGGTCCTTGCCTGGTCAGGATTGATAAAGACCGGGAAGCATTGGGCGCATCATACGGCTCAATTTCATTTCTGTCCCTTGCCATTTTGGGCTTGATGATACGATCATTTCTTTCTTGACAAAACAAAATCATTACTGATTCAATATCCAGAGTCTCTGTGACGGCCAATCGGAGTGCGTCAATATCACAATTACCCCCGTCTTATCCCCCTACTCCAATCATCATCTAGCAGTCCCTTCATGACGCTTGGACCTGCGGATTCTTAATCCTTCAATTCCCACCAGATCGTACCTGAGCAGCCCAGATTACCGCATCAGGCTTAGTCTCCGAAAGTCGTGCAGACGTTCCAGAGACCCGACACTCCCAGCGGAGTCTAGTCCCCATTCGGAAAAGGGCTCGATGGGGACCCGTACGTATTCTGGCTCGCTCCTCAGCCCATCTCCACCAGCACTCTTCCTCCTTTGCTCACTCTGACATTCGAGAATGCCTTAACATCCGTCTGTTCAATCTCTCGTGCCTTTCCCCCCCTCCTAACGATGCGCCAAACTCTCCGCCGATCCTGTGATACGTGCGCCAAATCAAAACACAGCTGCGATCTCCGCACACCGCGCTGCTCGCGCTGCGTCAAGCGCAAGATCCTGTGCGTCTACGCCAACGAACCCCTGACCGCACCGCCGCCGCCGCCGCCTCCGGCTGCTCCGGGGCCGGATGCTACCGGAGCCGCGAGACATCACCATGGATCCGGCGCTTTGACCAGCTACAGGATCGGGTCGCTTGATCCCTTCGACTCATATCCGCAGACGCGACTCCCTAGAGAACACGTTCAACGATTGATTCATAGCTGTACGTAGGGGCTCAACTCATTGAAGTGTTGGTTGGTCAAGGAGTGGATGGCCGGCTTACCAATTCAGTTCTCCACAAGATCGCGTTTCAGTACTACCCGCTCGACCTGAACGCAACCTCAAATCCGTTTCTCGTGTCTTGGTGGCCGCTTGCGCTGGGCGATCCTGCACTATTTCACGTCTCATTACAAACAGCATGTCTCGACGAAGAGATGTTGGCCCAGAAAGGGTTCCAAGCATCCGAGATTCTTATGGCTGACTCGGTCGCATTGCTCCGTCGCAAGGTTGAGGACACATCGCTAGCCGTGCAAGACGGAACAATGAACTCTGTCATCACTTTGGCAGCAATCGAAGTGAGCCGCTTCTTCACGTGCTCCTTTTCATCGCGAAATATCATTCATAAGGTGCATTGTTTACTGATGTCATGCAGTTCGGCAAGGGAAACATTCAAGTGAGCGAAATGCACGTTGATGGTGTCGCACGACTAGTCAACATGCGGGGCGGTATCAACTCAGTGAGGCAGACCAGCCCACTTACCGCACGAATGGTTAGCTGGTAAGTCAGCTTCAACCTTTTCCAGTGCCATGGTACTTATGTGAGTTCAAGGGTATCGATGATTGTAAAAGGTCATCCTCAGTTCGAAACCCAGGATGACGATGGCGTTGGGCATGGCATACCCCCGATCCCCGAATGGCAACAAGCACCAACTACTCACGATGACGATCTCTTTGACTTTGCCGATCAGGAAGTTGAATGCGCGGTATTAAATGTTTTCATCCGGCTACGAAATGTCTTCCAGCGGGCCAGGCGGGTTCCATTCCCAACAACCCGACTTCACGACCTCACATGTTTCGTAATACACCGCCTCTTACTTGAAGCGCCAGATCCAAGCGACCCTGCATCATCGCCACTCACCGAATGCATACGCTACGCCACCATACTTTACATGTTTAATGTCCACGGACCAACCTACTACTCACACGCAGTAATATTAAACGCCATCGTCACGCGGTTCACAGAGCAGCTCACACGGCTTGACTCATTACCACGGGTATATAACTCTCTGGACGTCTGGTTTCAAGCGATAGGGATGGTCTCGGCGGCCGGCACGCCCCTTTATGACTCGTTCGTAGAAAGGGCATGGGTTGTGGCTGCCTCTCTGGAGCTGGGCAGCTGGGATAACGCGTTTCTTCACGTCAAGAGCGTGCTTTGGCTGGAGACGCCGCAGGGCGAGGATGTCTTCCGGCCTCACTGGGACGCTATTCTTAGCCCGGAAAGTGGGCTCTCGTCGCCACAGACACTGGTGGTCTCTGTTTCGCCGAGTAGTACAATAGCGGTGGGATTCCGCTGAGAGGTTGTCAGGGGCTCACTGTTTGTAGATTGTGCTTGCAAGTTGATGCAAGCTTCATTCTGGTGGAAGATAATTGACTCGTAAGCTTTAACGTGAGGTGTATAAGTCTCTTCGGCATTGTTCTTGCCCTTACGAGCGGCATTCTGAAGGGTTTGCTGATAATTGCGCAAGAGAGTGACTTTCGGGGAGGCGTGGACAAAGTGATTGACGTGGCCATTGGCGATAGCCACGATAACCCGTTACTTCAGCTGGCAACTGTGTGTTTTTCTTAACAGATTAAATCCAGAAAGTCAAGAATCATGCTTTACTTTGGTGTTTGACCGTCCATCTTTCTTGGCCTTTTCAGAAATGAAACTGAGGCATATTCTTCGTGGTGGGTCGACGTCGTAGGCGCCAATCATTACCAGTCATTGCCGTGGCAGGCTCATAAGGTGTCGAGATTATGCACATCAACTCACGTCCATCTCGGCACCTGCACTAGTATCCACTGGCTCGATAAGAAAGAGTGAGAGCCAGAGGCCGTCAAGTTGTGATTGAACCCAAACGCAAGAGAAAGATAAAGCGGATGACGCTTGTTGATGCGCCTTGCGTGCTTACAATCGTTTCTAGTTCAGGAAGAAACGCCCCGAGCTTTTCGGCTTTGTGATATTCCCCGTGCAACCAAAAACTTGTAGCCGAAATGGGTCGGGTTGCTAGCCCAGTCCGAAGTCTTGTGAGAACCCACAACAAGGTGTACATCTTGAGGCTATCTTGCGCCAAGGTTCCACATGATAGCACGCGCCTGGCAGGTCGCGGCAATGCAACTAAGAACAGAGGACCCCGTTGATACTTATTCACTTCTCAGATTCTTGGCTTCTGTAAAGCAAATACAGCATTTTCTTCCCTGCATCCGGCAGGTGACATCGTCACCATGTCTTCGGCAGTTCTAATCCGACGACCCGCCCCTGTCATATGTATGGATATCTACTTCCCCCGGCCCCGCCACTTCTTCGAACAGAAGGTGGCCAAGTCCCCGTGGGGCCGCCACCTAGTTCGTTCGTGACAGCAAGACAGGCCCTCAGACGCCAATCCTTCTGGATGCCTTAGGACCTAAACAGACCCGCACAGTCGAGCCCCAGCCCCTTTACAACCAGACGTCGGAACGGTGGGGGAAGACGTGATGGTCTCTGCCATGGCAAGATCTTCGACGGGAGATTGGCGACGAATCTAAGATTCAACTTGCAGGCTTGGGGAGCAGCGATACTGGGACGTTGAGGCTGTGATGTGTAGCGCGATGGGACCAAGATGCGTGATAACGCACGGCTGCGGTCGGCGTTGACGTGTCGTGATTCGTGATCTTGGCATGCTGTTGAGGTTTTCGTGATCTTGCTTATCAGCTGCGCTGGCGGGTACTCCGAGTCTGCTTAAGCGTTAGCCTCGCTCCCAGCTGCAAACTCTCCCCGCATCTTTCATTTCATCCCGTCGGTCCGGCAAATCCGGGGTAGCTCAGTAATCTTGAACTCTGATGCCGAGCTGAATCCCCGCGTGATGATGCTGTGATGTTTGCATTTTGATCACTGATCACAGCATACATTCCACATCCGCATGTTCACGATTCTGAGATGCCACTCCAATCACTGATAGCGATCGTTCACTGAACCATGAACGCTGCGGGCGAATGACTTGGACATCCCGCGCGGCAACCGGTCCCTGCCATGCCTGTCCCACGCTGTGCGGGTATGCTGCATCCCAACCCTCCTCCTCTGAAACGACTGCTACCATGAAACCAGCCCTGATCTACACGATGTTCTGTCTTGTTAAGGGGCCATATTCAGCACCCCCTAGTCGCTTCTTCAGCACCCAGTTAAACCCCTTTTAGTAAGTCATTACGTTAGTGCTATACTACATATAGTAGAGTGAATCTCTAGCCTTATTAGTTACTAAAAGATTTATTATATATAGTAATATATAGTTTTATAAGATATAGAGCGAAAATTTATATATTAACGCGTTAATCTAATACTAAAGCTACTTATATTACTTATACTACTTATACTACTTATACTTATATTACTACTTTAGCTAACTTAAAAACTACTTAAATTACTATTAATTTAAAAGTAGTAAAACCTTAAAGTATACTTATAGAAATAGTAAAAAAGTCTATAAGTACTACTAAAGCTAACTTTAGCTAAAAAAAGTTAATATTAAAGCTAATAGTAGTAATAGAAATAGTAGTAGCTAACTTAAAGTAAAATTCTATAAAGTTTAAGCTAATTACTAGCTTATTTAATAGAACTACTAGCTAACTAATACTTATATCCTCTCCTCTTATTTTTCAGCTTATTTTTTAATAGCTAACTTCTTCTTTTTTTTTAGTAGCTATATTAGTAATAATAATAATATAATAAATATATTAGCTTAAGCTATTTTAAATATAGAGGGATCTCTTTTAGTAAATATATTATAATTAGTATAAAAGAAAAGTATTAATATAGTTAATTAATATTATAGTATATTATCTATAAAGGTGTTATTATTATTAATTAATATAATATTTTATTAGTAGTTCTTTTTTTAGAGGATAATATTAAAGTTAAGCTTTTTTATTACTACTCTAAGTATTATAATCTCTAGCTATAAAATATTAATTAGAAGTATATTTA